CCCTACTAATATTATAAATGCGAAAGTAACTCTGTCTGTCTGTCTGTCTGTCTGTCTGCTACGCTTTCACGCCTAAACCACTGAACTGATTTTAATGAAATTCGGTACAGAGATAGAGTTGACCTTGAGAAAGAACATAGGATAGTTTTTATCCCAGACTTTTGAAAGGTTCTCTTGGAAACGCGATATAACCGAACTCCACGCGGCGAAGCTGCGGGCGGAAAGCTAGTTCGTAATAAAAAAGGTAATGTGATGGTGAAAAACATATTTTTTCTAAGAAATTAAACCTAAAAAATTTATTACTTTCAATATATGACGTCGCTCCATATATATACATAATATTTATATATAAGGACGTAAAACTGTAAAAATATCCATACAAATAAGTCACTTAATTAATTTAATTTAAAATAATCTAACTAAGATTTCAGATAAGTGCTAACAACTGAAACAAGATATATAATGATCGAAACCCAGGATAAAATACTAGTTCATCCAACATATAAAAAACTAGCTTTCCGCCAGCAGCTTCGCCCGCCTGGAGTTCGGTTATATCGCGTTTCCAAGAGAACCTTTCAAAGGTCTGGGATAAAAACTATCCTATGTTCTTTTTCAAGGTCAACTCTGTCTGTACCAAATTTCATTAAAATCAGTTCAGTGGTTTAGGCGTGAAAGCGTAACAGACAGACAGACAGGCAGAGTTACTTTCGCATTTATAATATTATATGAATACATAAAAATGACTAATAAAATGTGTGTTAATAGTCATCACGATAACTAGTTAGCATTACACAACGATGCCAAGGCGACATCACTTATTGACATTTAAATAACCGGTTTGACAGCATACGGAACCAGCAAATGAGATGGAGGGTAGGAGGATATGTAGGATTAGGGTTCCCCAAGCAGACGCTAATGATAGAAATCACTGTATTATGTCTTAATTATCGTGAGTTTCTTCAAGGACAAACCATATTTCATACATATATAATAGTATAGATATAATAATATCCCTACTAATATTATAAATGCGAAAATAACTCTGTCTGTCTGTTATGCTTTCACGCCTAAACCACTGCCTAATTTTAATGAAATTTGGTACAAACAGAGTTCACCTTGAGAAAGAACATAGGATAGTTTTTATCCCAGACTTTTGAAAGGTTCTCTTGGAAACGCGATATAACCGAACTCCACGCGGGCGAAGCTGCGGGCGGAAAGCTAGTATTTGCATATATTTGTTTCATGGCAACATACATAATGACCAATCTCTTACTCATTCAACAATAATCTGAGATCATATAATATTAATATTAGCTCAGTATCATATAATGCTTAAATATACATATATATGTTATCCATACACATACATCACATTATTAATAAGAAATACTAGAAAAATGCATATATAATAATTTACAAGGAACTTCATAACATTCTTCAAATTCCATTCTCATGATTAATAAACACCTGATGTTACAGAAATGAGTGACTAGAACTTAGTATGGGTTTTATTTTTTATTATAATTCACGAAAACTATCATAAGTAGTTAAGGTTTTAGTATTTAAATGAGGGTAAAAATTTTAATGAACATCTCGACAGAAGACTGTATTGTACATGGTCGCAAAAAAATATTATATGCATTATTACATACATACATATACTATATATAGTATATAATTTTGCACATACATAAAACAATGAGGAAAAAGTTGTCAATATCAGTTAGTATATAATGAAATACCTCTACATACATATTAATAGTTCATCGATTATTATAGAGCCAAAATATGTATATAAGTAATGAACATGACAAAACTATTTATATAATAAAAAACACTAAATTCAACTCAAAGGAAGGTTATATACATTATGGAGACAATTAATAACAATTGTAACAAAGGGAAATTAGGTTTAACATTGTGTATGTTGAAAACATTGCACCTAGCATATAAATAAACTATTTATATTTAAAATTAAATTTTTTCTCTTGTGCATGAGGGCGCGGGTTCGAAACTTGGCAAGCACCAATGTGATTTTTCCGAGTCATTTGTACTTTCTGAGAGTATTTAGACACCACTGACAGATGAAGGAAAACATCGTGAGGAAACATGGACTTATAATATCAAATTATAAGTTTGGAATCACCAACTCGTTTTGAGCAAGCGTGGTGATTAATGCTCAAACCTTCTCCATCTGATAGGCCGATGACTAGTAACGATAGAGATTTATTAAGTTTTATATATGTATAATACTAGATTTAGAGCTTTTTGATAACTCACCTATGTACAAAATTAACACATCTTTAGGAAGAGGTGGATTAATATTATGTTTTTTATATTTCTGAACAAAATTATTAGAAATATATTGTGATGGCAAATACTATACATATAAATAAATATAAATATATGAAATATGTTTAAAGAAAATATAAATAGAATTTATTCCATTAATAAACTTCTACCAAAATCAATCCTACTTACAAACGAGCAAGTTTGGGAAGAAACAGATATTTTTTGCATTTTTACACAGAACACTTTACAGATTTTGATGAAATTTCACAATAATACAATCATAAGAATAAGATATGTTCTAATATCTGTACATCCATTTAATTCACACAGAATCACATCATAAGAATTGCATTCTCTATGAACTCACTATTTGGTTGGTTCTGGAGTATATTTTTATCTGAGCCTAATGACAAAACTAAATAAACAAAGTCGCATGCAAAATATTAGTCTACATATAAATTATGAATTAAGATATTAATTACAAAGTAATCTCCATTATATATTGATATAGAAGATTCTTAAAGACTTCTTGACAAGGATTTAAAAGGATATAACTCTTGTTGCGATGTTGGTACTGCCAATATGGGCACATAATAATAATTTTTCAGATTAAAGATTTCAGATACATGTGTTTGAGAAAGATCTTCTCATATATGTAGATATAATTCAAGCTTTTAATACTATAATTTCATATACATACTAATATATAACATAAATGTAATTATATAAACATCTATATATAAATGAATTGCAATTTAAAACAAATAAGCAAATAAATTGAAAACATGGAGAAAGAAGTTAATTACATTAAAACTATTTTGTTTAAGTGATTACTTGCTCAAACAATTAATAAAGCAAAAAGGCTAGGTGTGAATAGAAAATTATGAAATGATGTCATATTTTTTAATATGTATTTTCACTTTAAGTTATTCTGTTAAAGGCCTTAAAATATTCCAATATAATCCAAATCAGTATTTATAATTTTAATTAAAATAAATATTGACTAATAAATAAAAAGAAAATTCAATTCATTGTATGTAAAATAATAGAATATTTTAGACACAAAAAAAAAATCCTCAATGAATCCTTTTAGATATTTTAAGATCTTAGACCAACCAATATTTTATATCAAAAATTCAAATCTTTGTATCCATTTAAGTCAATATTTTTATTTAAAAAAGATCTTTCGCGTCATAATTCGTTTAACAAAAATTAATTTAAATTTAGAATTACACATTACTTAAAAACTTTATCAGATAAATGTTTATCTTTGATTATTGATAATTAACAATATAATAAATATTATATTTAATTATCGTGTTTTCTGTTCGTCGTATTTGAGACCGTTGTTATTTTTTTTGTAGTATTTCCACATGGGCGCGGTATTAGTCATGAGCGTCATCCCCTCATGGGAGGCAGTCACCCTTCTTCTAAGAAAAATTACGTACCCCCAATTGGAAATTCAAGGTCAAACAAAGTTTACAACGAAAATAATATCGTGCGACGTGTGGGGTGGCTCTTCTATCGTAGCTAAAAATCAATATTCATCAACTCATCCAGCTAGCTGAATGAAATGTTACTAGTTATTCATTAAAACGTAATGTTTTTATGCAATTCCATTCACTAATGTGTTAATTATTACCATTAATAGATAATCAATGAGCTGTATCTGTTTACATTGTTATGTCGGTCAGTCCGTTTTTCTGGAAAACTTTATAAATATATCGTAAACATTATCGAGTTATATATAGATCGATACGTTAAACTTTTGTATTTATTAAATATATCGCTCGGTGAACTTCTACATACCTCATTTTGTCGCTGTAATCCTTTGTCGCTTGATTCCTAATGCACTATTGCACGGAACGGAACAATTGTTCACTTATAAAATGCATATTTTCACAGACACAAACCGTCATTTCAGCACTGTAGACTCGTATACACGTCCAGCATACGAGTTAGTGGCCATTTTTGTCAAAAAAGTTGTAAATTTGTGTTAACGTTTCACCTCCTTCGATTTCAGAAAACGGATAGTGCGAGGACGCTGGCACTGCGCGGAGACAACGAGCGAATTAAAATTTATCCATCAATAGCCGGTCATACACCTCTAATAAAAAAAGTCTAACATAAAAAATATGTCACTACTCGACCACAGCTGAAGCTTTCGATTCAACATACAGACGATTGTATATTAGAGGAGGAAAGCTTTTTTTAAAACACAACGTGTGCGATTCGATATATATCCGGAAATAAATTTAACATTTTCGCCCTTATTTAGAACGTCTATACTCGGTTGTATTATACTCTTCGCTCGTAACGACCAATCACCTCTCAGGAAGATATTCATTCTTCTCTGAAACATTACAAGTAGCGACATCTATTGAGGACCGACATTCTCACTTAAGTCACAGATTTATTCCTCTGGCAACAATTTAAAAATTGATATTAAATAAGTACGTTAAGAAATTAATTTATAAAACGTATAAAATATATTACAAATGGAATATAAAGCTATTATGTTGTATCAAATATCTAACTTAATTTTAAAAAGTAATTTTTCCGATTTATTAAAAAAAAGTATTTTAATATAGCAACGATATCAATTATAATGACAGATTGAGTCATATGTTGACAATCGTAGCTTCCCGAAAAGAAATCAGTCTGTTTTTCTTTTGATAAACAGTTCCTTTTTCGAAAACATAAAAAGAATGGTGGGCGCAATGCCTGTTAATTTAATACCAAAATTTTTCAATGGTGCCATGGAGAGTCATAATGGTGATGATTGTGAGAGTCAAGTGTTTATCGGCAGTCGTGTAAAGTGTAACGAAGATTTCGGTACTGTAAAATATATTGGGGAGGTCCAGGGCTACAAGGGGATTTGGTATGGGGTTGAATGGGACAATGCTGAGCGCGGGAAACATGACGGTTTCGTTGAAGACGTGCAATACTTCAAAACAACGAAACCTGGGGCTGGTTCCTTTGTACGCCCTAACAAGATAGCACCATTCACAACCTGCGCTGAAGCTATCAGGAGATATTACGGCGATCGGGAGGTTAGTAAACAAAAATAAAGATTTATAGACAAAGAAACTTATTTATAACACTACATGTGTCATCAACCCACACAGTGTGAAGTGGCTTACGAAAACAAGTTTGCAACCATATCTAGCTATAACTGTGTAGAATTAAAATTAATACTACAAAATTCAGATAACATAAGTATAATTAATACATTTGTAGATGATAAGTCTTAAACTATTAAAAAAGAATTTAAATATTATAATTTAATAAAATATACTTCAACTTTTTTAAAATTTGTATTTTTATTACAAATCATGTCAATAACTTATTCAAACAATTCAGCACTAAAATTTTGCAACAATTTAAATATCTCATGTTAAATATGAATTTTCAATCATAATGCTTTATTGCACTTTTGTTTTCTAAAATTTATAGTTTTAAAATAATTTGAATCATATTTAATTACAATATATTTCAGAAATAGTGGTTGAATTAATTGTGTGATACAATAAAACTACATATTGTCCCTTAAGTTACAACACAGCTTAAGTCATTTTTAAAATTGTCCAAACAAGGAGACAAAAAAACTGTTTAATTTAACTATCTGTGTTTTTTTTTATTACTATCGAATACATACACTAGTTAGCAGTTAAGCAATAATTATTTATACATATTTTTTTCAATTTCGGTTAGATGATCATCATCAGCTTCATCGAATTGTATTAAAAATGTTAAAACCACCAATTTTCGACTTGAGCAGTGTTGTCAACTAAAGAATGATATGTGTACTACACATATTAAATTTGTAACATTTGTATTGCTAAGTATCAACACTGAATGACAGTAACTAATATAATAAAGTGATCTACATACATTACACTTGACATTATATGATTATAACAATACCAAGCATGTATAACTAATACACAACAAGAAGATTCTCTAATTTTTTCATAATTAAACTTAACAAAATTAAACACTAAATTATTACTAATTGTGAAAAAAATACCTTAAAAGTCATTAATATATAAAATATTTCAGCTTAAACTTTCTTCTGATAATCTGCTTTCAATGTAGATACGCTGAATTATCCAATGCTAGTTACATAAATTTGCACTATTTTTAATGACATTATTATTTAATAATAACCAAGGATAACAAATACATAATATTGTGAATGTAATTTCAGGATGAGACAGTTGCGGCTCACCGTAGAACAGTTATCAATGAATGGAAACGAGAAATGGGTGCTCCGTTCATAGAAATGGTTGGCTTTGAGAAGATACATCAGAAACAGTTAGTTTGGTTCTTATAATATTAATTTCTTTATTGAAACAACATTATATGTATATTAGAGTTTGAACTAAAATGTTTGATTGTCTAACCAACTCTAGAGATGAATTTTGTCATCATTCAATGTATTCACGGTGCGTGTCACGGGTCCATCGTTGTAGTGAGAGGAGCTTCAACAGTGACTGGGACTTGTGACCCAGGTGTAGGTTTAATATATATAGAGAGACGAAACCTCTCATCATTCAATGTATTCACGGTGCGTGTCACGGGTCCATCGTTGTAGTGAGAGGAGCTTCAACAGTGACTGGGACTTGTGACCCAGGTGTAGGTTTAATATATATAGAGAGACGAAACCTCTCATCATTCAATGTATTCACGGTGCGTGTCACGGGTCCATCGTTGTAGTGAGAGGAGCTTCAACAGTGACTGGGACTTGTGACCCAGGTGTAGGTTTAATATATATAGAGAGACGAAACCTCTCATCATTCAATGTATTCACGGTGCGTGTCACGGGTCCATCGTTGTAGTGAGAGGAGCTTCAACAGTGACTGGGACTTGTGACCCAGGTGTAGGTTTAATATATATAGAGAGACGAAACCTCTCATCATTCAATGTATTCACGGTGCGTGTCACGGGTCCATCGTTGTAGTGAGAGGAGCTTCAACAGTGACTGGGACTTGTGACCCAGGTGTAGGTTTAATATATATAGAGAGACGAAACCTCTCATCATTCAATGTATTCACGGTGCGTGTGTCGGGTCCATCGTTGTAGTGAGAGGAGCTTCAACAGTGACTGGGACTTGTGACCCAGGTGTAGGTTTAATATATATAGAGAGACGAAACCTCTCATCATTCAATGTATTCACGGTGCGTGTGTCGGGTCCATCGTTGTAGTGAGAGGAGCTTCAACAGTGACTGGGACTTGTGACCCAGGTGTAGGTTTAACATATATAGAGAGACGAAACCTCTCATCATTCAATGTATTCACGGTGCGTGTGTCGGGTCCGTCGTTGTAGTGAGAGGAGCTTCAACAGTGACTGGGACTTGTGACCCAGGTGTAGGTTTAATATATATAGAGAGACGAAACCTCTCATCATTCAATGTATTCACGGTGCGTGTGTCGGGTCCATCGTTGTAGTGAGAGGAGCTTCAACAGTGACTGGGACTTGTGACCCAGGTGTAGGTTTAATATATATAGAGAGACGAAACCTCTCATCATTCAATGTATTCACGGTGCGTGTGTCGGGTCCATCGTTGTAGTGAGAGGAGCTTCAACAGTGACTGGGACTTGTGACCCAGGTGTAGGTTTAATATATATAGAGAGACGAAACCTCTCATCATTCAATGTATTCACGGTGCGTGTGTCGGGTCCATCGTTGTAGTGAGAGGAGCTTCAACAGTGACTGGGACTTGTGACCCAGGTGTAGGTTTAATATATATAGAGAGACGAAACCTCTCATCATTCAATGTATTCACGGTGCGTGTGTCGGGTCCATCGTTGTAGTGAGAGGAGCTTCAACAGTGACTGGGACTTGTGACCCAGGTGTAGGTTTAATATATATAGAGAGACGAAACCTCTCATCATTCAATGTATTCACGGTGCGTGTGTCGGGTCCATTGTTGTAGTGAGAGGAGCTTCAACAGTGTCTGTGACTTGTGACCCAGGTGTAGGTTTAAGGGACCCTATATAATGTTCGTTATACGCTCACCTCTACCGCACAAGCTCCTCTCTCTACCTAAACTAATTTGAAAGGAACCTATTAGGGCTTTTAAGCATAATATAAATCAGTTATACCAAAAATCACTAGTAGGTTTACTAAAGGATTGCATCATTACAGTAGAGATAAAGTAATAACAATTTAGAAAATAAGAAACCGGAAATACATAATATGGAGTGATAGAACGTAAATAAATTGATCAATTAAAAATGTAAAATAGTAAAACAAAATTTTATGTACGTAATAATAAAAATTTTAATATTTGACTACAGATAATTTTATACGAATTATGTACAAATAAATAAATTAGTAAGAAGAAATTACTTGAATAACCAAGTATGTATTAATATTAATAAAATAATTATTTTATATGATAACATCCTTTTTACTTAATAATAATTACATACAAATCTATATACCACTAGCTGCGCCCCGCGGTGTTACCCGCGGATTTCCGGGATGTAAAGTAGCCTATATGTTATTCCTGGACGTCGGTTTCCTATATACAAAACTTTAACAAAAGCGGTTCAGCCGTTTGAGCGTGAAGAAGTAACAAACATACACACACACTCACAAACTTTTGCAATTATAATATTAGTAGGACATATGTTGTACACTTAAATTTATGTACTTCCTTTGTGCCAATCTGCTTATCGTACACAGAATTGGCTGAACCGATTTTGTTGAAACTTTCACAGCTGATAATTTATTTAATAAAGACTAACATAAGCAAAAAAATCAATCAAAATCCTGTTAGTTCATACTAAATGTCTTCTTCATGACAACCTCCCAGCTTTAACCAGGGCCTACTAAGTGTCATAGTCATAGTAAATGTATTTTGTATTATAATTTAATATATTTCTTTATATACAGGAAATTTGATCGCCTCCAAGAAGTCTGTGTTCATGATCAGAATATAACAAAGGCTGGTAATGTAGCCGCTTTATGTCCTAATGTAAGGAGCTTAGATGTATCGCAGAATCTGTTCTCAAATTGGCGAGAGGTCATTGAACTATCAGCACAACTGCCGTTGAAGGAAATTGATGTTAGGTAAGATATTTACTATAATATAGCTATTAGAAATATATAAAAATTATGTATATAATCTAAGCGTTATATATTTGTACCTAATTTAACCTAAAGGTAGCTAAGAAAAATGACTTGCAATTCATGATAGTAACTATATACATAAATACAATTATATTTAGCATCGTCACTGGTTAGGTAATAAGTATAATTAAACTTATATATTTTAATACATTTATATATTTTAATACATTTATATTATATATAAACACATATATTGTTTTTTTTGTGTAATAATTAATATTTAATTTTCTAGATTCATAGTTTAATAATTTAATTACAATAAGACCAACTGACAGATATTCACATCTTGTCTGTCCGTGATCACATTTGCTGCAATATAACTGAAACTTCAGTATCATGTAAATTCGAAATAATAAAAAACCGAGCAGTATCCGAAAATTAAGCTTTATTTAAATAATTTCATCCAAAAAAACTTATATTTCATTTCAGCAAGAATCGCATGGCAATAGATATACCTGAAGAAACATTGGAGCAACTTTCAATACATTTCTCTAACCTTGAGAAGATAAACATCTCTGTATGTGATTATGAATGGTCTGATATCCTTGCACTATCCCATCTCTGGCCAAAAATAAATGAAATTATAGCAGCCTACAACAGAATCACCATAATAAACCCACCAAAAGTCACTCTAAACACATTAACAATACTGAGATTAGATGGGAACCCCATAGATTCATGGTGTGAGGTCATCAACCTCGGCCTCAAAAACCTCAAAGTATTAAGCCTCAACGACTGCTGCATAGAGGAAATCAGATTTAAAGATACAAAACCAGATGCTAAAGCTAGTGTATTTGAGAATTTGGAAGTGCTATTTCTGAACAGGAATAAAATTAAAGATGTGAGTATTTCATAGTGATAACTAGAGGTTCCAGGAAAACTACATAACTTACTTATATGTATTATAATAAGAATTACATATTAAAACTTGTAACCTATACTTAAAACTACATGATTGACCCGATGTTAGGATAGCAATACCATTCCATAGCTTGTGTGTATCAGGAATCTTCTGGTTCACACGGCTTGGTGTTCGTTCCGCGGAGTCAGCAGCCTCACTCATTATATATTTTATCTATACAACGTTGTCGCCCCGGCGATGTTCATTTAATTTTTAATAAGTAGATTTTTGTCCGCTACTTATGTACATTCAATATTAGGCTTAGCATACATTACTATACTTTTTACACAAAACTATAAGTCTTAAAGCTTGATTGTGTTATAATTATAAATAATTGGCACAAATGATCCTATATCATATTTTGATGTGTAAATTATATTACTGTAATGTTTCATCAAAATGGACTCAGTAGTTTTTGCGTAAAAGAAGAACATACATAAACAAAAACTTCATAGAGTAATGTTTAAAAGTAAAATTTATGTAACCTGATAGCAATCATATTATTACTAAACAATATAGTTTTTATAATTAAAAATTATAAAATTCTATTATAAATATTTCTACTTGATGGTAATATTATAAACTATTTTATATTTTCAGTGGAGGTCAATAAGTGAGTTGAATAAATTGAAATCTCTAAAGAAATTATATTTCTTGAAAAATCCAATCCAAAACGAGGAAGACTATGACACCGGATCTCAGCTAATTATAGCCAAAATTGGTAATCTTCAGGTAAATATACAATATTTTTATTATATTCATACATATAAAACCTTTTTTCAAGGTCTTGGCAGTTTTTATACAATCATTAAGAACATATAATTTGTATAAATTATTTTATTTTTGACAACACTACCGGTAATTCATATTATTACCAATCTCATTATTATTCTCATTATTGCAACTCTATCAACCAACTATACCTAAAAATAATATACTCAAGACATTTTCTTCTATAAATCATCAACATCATCATCATCAGCCTCTAAGGCCTCTTTCTCACATGGAGGAGGTTTGAGCATTAATCACCACGCTTGTAAGACGGATTGGTTATTTCCTTCACCTTCTGTCAGTAGTGTCTAAATACTCTTATAAAGTACATATTACTCGGAAAAATCACATTGGTACTTGCCCGGGCCAGGATCGAACCCGCACCCTCACGCACGAGAGGCGCGTCTTTAACCACTGGTCCACACCTGATTCTTCTATAAATATTACCAAGCATTGATAACTATCAGTTTAAAACTTAAAAGTAAATAAAGTTTTCAGCCAAATAAAGAGAAATTAATTATTTTATTACAGGAATTAAATGGTTCATACATAACACGTGAACTACGTCGCGGATCAGAATATGATTATATGAAGAGATATGGTGCCGAGTGGAAGAAAGGAGATGAACAGTTCCACTTAGAACACTGTAGATTCCAAGAACTTATTGATAGTAAGTTACAGACATACATATATATATACACATATATATAGTACTAGCTTTCCGCCCGCAGCTTCGCCCGCGTGGAGTTCGGTTATATCGCGTTTCCAAGAGAACCTTGCAAAAGTCTGCGATAAAAACTTTCTCAAGGTCAACTCTATGTCTGTACCAAATTTCATTAAAATCAGTTCAGTGGTTAAGGCCTGAAAGCGTAACAGAAAAACAGACAGTTACTTTCGCATTTATAATATTAGTAGGGATATTTTGACTAAGTTGCTCCTGATTGAATGAACTATCTGCTAGTGAAAGCCCCATCAAAATGGTTCAAGCCATTTTAGTCATTAACTGCAACAAATTTGCAGATAAATTAAGTACATATGTATGCATTAAGTAAAATTATATAAAATTGATATTCAATTTTTATGGATATATTCTTATCATCATCATATATATTATATATATGTATATTTAGTTAGAAAAACATTATTGCTATATGAAAAAAATCCCCATTAATAGTATTAGTATAGAAATATTTGTTTATAAAAATCCATAGCAAATAATCATTATCTTAACCGTCTACATGAGAACAAACAAATTTACATATTACTTTAGTATATACAGATACATATATATAATACTTTGATTGATTTTTATATTATATTTATTTATTATTTATTTATATAAGGACAATTTACAAAACATACACCATTTATAAGTTTTAAAAAAAGATAATTACATTTCTAGCAAGGTGCTGTTTCAGTTAAAAGTTATCCCGGCATGCCAAAGGACAGTATTTTCTATTAATTTACACAACTTTTTTTTCTACTAAAATTATACAAAAGGGGAAATTAAAATTATACAAAAGGGGAAACAAAAAATACATACTACCAATACAATATAAAATGTAAATTACAAAAGACAATAATATATTATAATATAATAATAAATTTCCAGAATACGGCATCCCGGACGACAGTCTGCTTGTAAAACAAAACAAAGACACGACTCTCACATCACAGCTATTAGAAATAAATATAAAAGATGAAAACGGAAAGATTCTCAAGAAAAAATTCCCTTCAACCATGGCTGTACAGAAACTTTTAACATTAGCACAGAGATTATTCTCTAAAGGAAAAATCGGAACACCCTATCTATATATACAGGATGAGACGCATTCAGACCTACTTATGGATAATGCTATGAAAGATCTAGCATTTTTCTCCATCAAAAATGGTGATACAATACTCGTTAAATTCAGATAATCATTGGTCTATCTGTATACAGAAATATATAAACATTGATAAATTACTGTACCTGTATTTATTTTGAAAAAATAAATGTCCACTATGTATTTTTATATGGTTATTTTATTATACCCGTAATTTTAATATACAGTGCAAGTAAATAATTCCGCGTATCTAGTAATCAATTAAACACTAAATAATTACTAATTGTAAAAAAATTACCTTAAAAGTCGTTAATATACAAAATATTTCAGCTGAAACTTTCTCATAATTTTGCGCCCAATGTAGATGACAATAATAATTTTTAATTAATATAATTTATGGAGGACATAGCCTTTGTCGTAATGATCTTGAAATATTTGTAATTAACATTCAGTGACATTGAGAATGTATGTTATGTTTAAACATATGTGACCTTGACGAGATATTTTTCAATAATAATATATTAAATAATGTCTTTGAACAATTGCTACAACTATATACAATAATAATACAATTATTATTAACGGAATTTCATTTTTTGTGTTAACTTGAGACTTTAAAAGACGCAAATAATATGTTAAATTAACTATTTAAGCGTTTACTTAAAAAATATATTTTATAATTATTACGTACTTAAAATATTTTCTTAAGTTTTAAATTTCGAATTAAACTGACGTCTAAAATAAATACTGGCCACATCGGAGTCAAACCTCGATCGCTATTGGTAACCGTTGTGTCAACAAAAAAAAATAATGTTTACGAATTTACGAATGGCGGCTTACGTGAAATTTGAAGTTGCTCGTAGAATTTGCAAGCAGAAAATGTAAAATTCGCGTATACAGTTATAGTAATGGGTAATTGCTGGGGTCTGTTCCGTAGACGCAATATGCGTCGTCATATTGTTTTAATATTAATAGGATTGGACAATGCGGGTAAAACGAAAACTGTGAATAATTTAGCTGGTGAAAAAGACGATAAGGTTTTACCTACCGTTGGTTTTAAGGCTGTAAATTTGATACATAAGGATACGCCTGTTACTATATACGATCTGGGCGGCGGGCCGCAGTTCAGGGAAATATGGTGTCAGTACTACAGCGAAGTACATGGTGTCATATTTGTGATCGATTCGAGCGATTTTTCACGCTTGGACGAATGTAAAACAGTGTTAGAAGAGGTATTATCGCACGATAAAATATCTGGTGAGTTACCTTATCTTGTCACGGTTTAAGTTTAGCGTCAATCATGGTGTAATTAAGTTTTCTTATCACACGTAACACGCTTCGAAACTCGATAATTAATACTTAAATTATGATATAAAACTAAGTTTAGGATTACTTAGATTGTTATAAACATATGTAAAGTTTGACTAACTAAGATTTAATATCGTTATCTTCAAATTGCTTCAAATTTTTCGTAAACCAAATAACCTCATCGTAACATTTTATTCAACTTTCATATATTAATAATTATTTTTTATACGTTCAGGTAAACCTGTTTTGGTACTAGCGAACAAACAAGACAAGTCGGGTGCCTTAGACGATATCGATGTTGTTGAAAAACTCAATATAGAACCATTGGTGAATAAGTAAGTATTAAATATATATTCTGTTATATATACAAAATAAAAATATCATAAAGATAACAATTTTAACATAAAAACCATTGAAATAAGCCAAATATATTATATATGTATATATCAGGGAACGAAATCAGTTTACAATTTCAGTTATCGTAATTTAGATCGTAGATTTAGACAGAGTTTTTTCGTTATACCATACATTATAAGAAATATATATAAAAGAGTATGAATATTATAACTTTTGATTGTGAAAGCGTTAATAGGACAATGTAATAATATCTAAAACTTGCGAGTATTCATTTAAATGAAACTAATATTATCAGATAAACTACGCGTTATTTTAAACTACAGACTCCCGAGTCAAGACGTTTCGCATACTTTACAGTTTACAGCAACCGAAACGTAGTATATAGTTTAATATTATAAAACAACGCATAGTAATCCAAAAATATCAGTTTTATTCAGGAAATTTATATAAAATGGTTGTTGAGCTAGTTAGTTAGTGATCTATATCAATATTTTCTCATATTGACAAATTAAAAAGCCTTTAATGATTAATTGGATGGCTTTTATTATTTTTGTCAGAATCGACCTCATTTATGAGGCAAAGTAAGAATTGTGCTTCATTTTCATAGTTTCCAAGGTCGTAATTTTTATCTCACTAGTGACATTGAAAAAAATTGGTACAATAATAATTTCGGATATTTAACTAGTTGATCTTATAAAAAAATTTGAAGCACTATGTTGTAATTAAAATTCACGATATTTTTTTTTGTACTGGACCCAAAAATGAAATATTTATTAATTATTACAATGAAATCTAAGATTTTCGTATGTATTCATTTAAATGAAACTAATATTTTGCGCATGTAAACGCAATTTTTATTTTTTATTTTAAACTACATACTTCCAACGTATCGGCTATTTTACGGCAACCGTAATCACGGGCAGACGAGATGTGACTTACATCTCGTGCGCAGTACATCCGAAAAATATTAGTTTCATTTAAAAGGGTTATTGGTGAAAATTTATCATTATTGATAAGTAATAATTTTATACTTTTTCGTATACTGTGTACGTAATACGCATAATATATTCAAGGTACCGATGTCCAACTTTAGTGGAGTCCTATAGCGCCACACCCATCGATAGTAAGTCGAAGAAAATTAAAATTGACCCCGGCCTTAGAAAGGGTTACCAATGGCTATTAAACTATATAGTACGTCGTTACGGAGATATAAACTTGAGAGTGCAAACAGACATACACGCCGAATTGGAGCGTAGGAAGAGACTGCTCAACCGGGCATCGAACCGGGCATCACAGACATTCACAGCTCTCAGCGACGACATCGCAACCCAAACCGGTTTCGAGAACCCGAATTTCGGGATAGAAAACCCGAAAATCGAGGAAAAGGAGCTCGGTAGTGGCTTAATACATGTTAAGCCATTACGAAAACCAGCAAGCGTGGATTCAACAATTACGATAGAAAGCGTCGAATCCGATAATACTAGTGCTAAACCCCGACTCTCGCCGCTATTCGGAGCAAGTAATAGCTCAACATCAGAAACTGTTAGGATAGAACTCGAACCGAGGAGCGAATTTAGGAAATTATCACCGATAATAAGAAATAAGGACGCGTGTAATATAGACTTTAAGAACAGGCCGCAGTCGAGCCCCACTTACCAGAGAAATAATGTAAGTAATACTTTAAACACAAAGAAAATATCATATACACACACACATACAATAGAGATCTTCTTCTACCTGACAATTTCCCAGCTTTAGCCATTGTCTGCCTTACATGTTGTGAATAGTTTTGTCTATTTGTTTTACGACCGACCGCCTGTCTGACATCAACCCTCTTTGGGAATGCATTAATCAGTAATATCTAAATACTCTTAGAAGTACATATGACTCGGAAAAATCACTTTGGTCCTTGCCAGGATCGAACCCGCGTCTTCATGCATGAGAGGCGGGCTTTTAACAACTAGGTTACCACTGACTTAACATACAATACATACATATATTATATAAATTGTAATTCAGGTCTCTAATAAGCTAAATCATAAATACAATAATCAGTTCAGTAGTTATTGCGTTACAGCCAATAAATAAACATACATACATACATTATTTACGATATTAATTTGACCCTAAGTTTCACCATAACAAACCAACATAAAACTGTTTGATTTTAATTAGCAACCAATTAAATTGATATCAAAAATTATCAATAAAAAGACAAGCTTAGTCTAGACCAAGCACAATTCAGTCTACACTAACCAAAGCATACAAAAATATAATAATTATATATATGTTCACAGATGCTATCAGGCAAGAGTTCCCAAGAACGAGTTATTGAAGACGGGAATCGAACCTGGAACCACGCGCCTACACACGTGGACACTCAACTGGGAGGGTTGAGGGAGATCGTTATAACGGAGAGAGGTAATATGTGACAGACAGATTGACACATACACACAGACATTAACACCAAATACATATATCGTCAGGGATAGTGCAAATCCGCGTAACTAGCATTGGATAATTCCGCGTATCTAGTAATAAATTAAACACTAAATAATTACTAATTGTGAAAAAATTACATAAGTTGATAATATAAAAAAATATTTCAGCTTAAACTTTCTTCTGATAATCTACTTCCAATGTAGATACGCGGAATTAAACAATGCTAGTTACGCGGTATATAAATATATAGATAAATCTTCTCCATGTGAGAAGAGGCCTTTCAGCAGTGGGCTCTGATAGGATGATGATGATGATGAATAATATATATTGTCTCTATAAGATAGAACCAATCCTGATTAGATATTCATAGTCTTCCTTATAATAAATACATTTATTAAATTTATTTCATATACATATAATGTTTGCTCTTATCAATAGTAATCTAATCGGTTCCGACTTCAATTATGAATGCTGTTAATTTATTCTGATACAATATTTTTCATATAATGTTGAGAATTAAGTTAATATTTCTATAGTATAACTTCATACTAAATTGTTCATTATTAAAATGAAACTATCTTTTTCGGTTACTTTGCTTTTTTATTATTTTATATCAACATGATCTCTTTTTAGTAAAGAAAATTAGTTTCATTTAAATGACTACAGTACATTATAAAATCTTATACATATATGTGCCATTAATGTATTAATACATATAATATATATATATGTATATAGATCCAGGCAGTAGGGCTGCATCATCAGATATAGCACCATCATGTCCTGCCACATTACCAGCTCGACCTGCCTCTGCTTCAAGACTGGTTCGGAGACAATTGGAGATCAGTGGACATCGGAGACGACTCAGTCTTAGATGTGAGTTGATACACTCACTCACTCACTTATATACTCACTCAGTCACTCATACACTCACTCAGTCACTCATACACTCACTAACTAACTTATAATCCCCAATATAATATTTCAGACATGCAACGAAACAAGACCAGCCCTGAACGAGCATCAATGATGATATACGAACAGAAAATAAAAAGGCACATGAATAAAGGTGACTTCGAGAAAACTGTCATACACTGACATATATAAAGAGGTTTATAATATATATATTAGTTAACACATATATACAAAAATTTGATAGTATTACTATACAAAGTACATATATATGTATGTACATCATACAGAATTGTTGATTAATAAATAACATATGTTATATTGTCATTAAAAACAGGGTTAAAATTATAATTATAAAGTCAATTAATATAGAAAAATATTTGTAGTTCTTGAAACAGATTACATTTTTAAGTGATTTTTTAAAAAATTAAAATATTAAGTTCTAGTATAATGTGATTATTCCTTATATTTTATGTTAAGTTTGATTTGAATTTAATTTGAGAGTATTGAATGGACCAAGATAGTTATATGGGAAGTTTAATTAAAAAATTGTATAATTTTGTACTTTGTGTACCAAATAAATATTATTCATTATAAATTCTTTTATTTACCGACCACAGATTTACTTGTTAGTTTAAAATATTTTTTAAGCATTATCTTCCTGGCAATTTCCCAGCTTCAGCCAGGGTCTGCCTTATATGTTGTGAATAGTTTTGGCTAATTGTTTTTATGACCGGCCGCCTGACTGACATCAACCCTCTTTGGGAATGCATTAATCAGTGATGTCTAAATACTCTTAGAAAATACATATGACTCGGAAAAATCACATTGGTACTTGCCCGGGCCAGGATCGAACCCGCGCCCTAATGCATGAGAGGCGGGCCTTTTAACCACTAGGCCACCACTGGCTATAATTATTTTTTTAAGCATATATATATCGTTGTAACTTTGTAGATTTAATTAAAACACAAAATGGCTAGATACATACATTTATTTAAATAAATATTTTGAATTCTGATTTCTACTTGGCAGTGTTTAATGTTTAATGCATGTTACATTGTATTGATGGATTTAAAATATTTCTGATTATCTCATATAATTCAAAGTCTCGCATAAAAATACAGTTTCATTAATAAATAATGAATTATAAAATTTATCCTAATTTTTACAATTTTGTCATATTATTTTCAAATATCTGCATTTTGTTTGCGAGACTTTGGTTTATTCAGCATAAACTAAAATCTTGATAAAATTATAATTGCATATTTATTATATTTACAACTATTCTTCTAGAATTTAACTATTTTTTTATTATCTAAATTCTTCTAATTAAACTATTTTATTTCTCTATATATAGTATCAAAATCTATGGCATCATAATGTATATCTCTTAGCTACATATATTTTGGGATTGCAACTAAATATTGGATTAATTCTTATAATCTCTAGTTAAATGTTACTTTTCATACATTTCAGTGCAAAAATGAGCAAAAACTAAAATATATAAGTATATTTTCCATAAATTACAGTTGCCTCGGTCTAGTTGAGTCTAGGAACATCGGAGTGACTTCATTGGAAAACTCTATATAAACTTACACTAAATAAAATAAATTGAGATCACTTAAACTAAAAATTATATTGAACTAGTAAATGCTATTTACAAATACATTTGTTGCTTGTAAGAGAGCTTGCGGAAACATGGAAATAAATCTAAAATCTAAATGACTAGGTTCGGTTAAAATTTTGCTAATTTTTGTATTGTGATATAAATAATTTTCTATATATTTCTGAGTTTTCTATGGCTCTCAAGAGGAATGTGGAATGGTTTAACATAATATTTTATCTATAACTGTGCTGGACAGAAGAATCTTCATCGGAGCGATTTCTTCTTTCACATCTTTTCTGGTGTTGTCTAATAAACGCGCTCAGTCTATTTAGAAGGAACTGCTTATCGTGACCTTCTAGAACTAACTGATTCTTTAGAACTTCCACCATATGTCTATTCGCGGCTGCAACAGCCCAATAGTAGTATAGAAGAAAGAGTAGTATCGCGAAAGCGGGGACAGCGAATGTAGAAGTACCAAGAAGAAACACGATTTCTCTTATCAGGAATGGAAAACCTTCGAAAGTCTGTATAACGAAGCCCCAAACTGTCTCAAAACCTCTGAATGGGCCGCAATTCATTGACGGTTCTATCTCAGCTATAGAATATGCGACAGGTAGGATAGATATCATGAAACCTAGCAACAACACTGACATAAACAGAGATTTAGATCGAGATGCTCTATAGACTATCGGAGACGGCGTGCAATTAATAAGACAGGTGAACTTCTTGATGTAGAATATAAGTATGCAGAAAATTGTACCAATTATAGGTAAAAACGGACAGAAGAACGAACCCATCCATATTATTGTCTGGATGTACACAATATCTAAGACATGTTTCGGCAGATAAAAATCTTGGGTGCCAATGACTTTCAAAAACCGACTATTGCTGTGACGAGCTATGATGGCTCGTGGGAAGTTTATGAGGAATGTCATGACGAATTGAAGGACGAAATCTGTTAATATCAGCTTGTATAGCTGTTGCCCGACATACGTCTCCCAACACTCAAAACGATACTCCTCGTTTTCAGGTGAGCATTTAATTCTATCAGGATTCGTCACTTGTAAGTAAATTTGGCTCAACAAAACCGCTAGCGAAGATAATCTCATTAAAACCGTCCTAAGAACTGTTATAACTATCGCATTAGCTGGTGTGTACGTTTCAAATTTGATCAAATACCCAAAAACTTCTGGCAGTATTATGTTCAATACAACAATCGCTATATACGGTAAGAATTCTAACAGCGTGTTGTGTAATTGACTAAACGAATATGAATTCTTGAACTGCATCAACGGCTGAGCTTCAGTTTGGTTCACAATCATAAAATTCTGTACGGAATCTTCAAATCTAGTCGAGTAATTGAACACTACGTATATTAGAACTCCCGATGCGATCAATATTATCAATACTAGTATATTAATCAGGAATCTCTTTAAATGCATCAATATCTGACTCTCTCTTGTTCTCATTTGTTTCTCCTCTTTATATCTCTCTTCCTCTAAACATCCTTTGATCTCATTAAACAGTGCCTTATGTTTTATTTTAGCTGATTTGTCATTATGTATACAAAAGTCCCATCCACCGAATACTAAATTACAGTACATATAAAACTGACCCTCGCTTTCCACCAAACGCTCCTTAAAACCTCTGGCCGCTGTCTTTACGATGGCTACTAATGAAAATAGGGCCCAAGATATGGGAACCAATATATACGCTAAGGGCATGTTGTAAAACATCTCCGCATTACCAAAAGCCTTCACGAAATACGAATGAACCTGATTACTGTACACGCCATAAAACAATATAGTCTTTTCCATCCAACCGGTACCTTGAATGAGATCCAAAACCACATTATCCGTTAGATTCCTTTGAAAATATACTTGGGAGCAACAAACAGTGGAATTCTCATCAAAATCCACACACTCAAAATCAACTTCCACTAGCAGAACTTTGGGCAAAATCAAAAACAAAATCACGAACAACGATATCGACAAATTTAGTAACAAGAGCCACCTTAGGAAAAGGAAGAAAGAGACAACTCCCGTGCCAAATTTTCCCTCAATTTCCCTCAAAGCCGATTGCCACAATTCAAATTTCCCCACAATTTCCCCAAATCGTATTCTAAATTGGTGCCAAACTTTCCTCTGTCGCCATTGTAACTGCTCCAAGCCTTGGAGTCTTAACTTCGTAGCGTTCTGTAATTAAAAGTATTAAGTTATTAAGTAAATTTACTCTAAAATACTACCATAGAAAACGCCAATAATAATTTATATAGATAAAAGCATTCATTTAATAAATTATAGTGATATTCCAAGTAATGTTGGGAAGTTAATTTTCTTAACTTGATTTTTAACTCTTAGTTTCTTTGCAAATGTAATATTTGTAAGATATCAATTAAAAACTAATATTGAAAACTAATCATTTCGCGAGTATTCATTTAAAGGAAACTAATATTATTCTGATTACTACGAATATTTTATTAATTTAATGTTTTTATTTATTACTTATGGTAATTTTATTTAATATTTTAACAAGACCAACTGACAGAGATTCACATATCCTCTTTCCGTGATCACGGTTGATGAAAAGTAACCGAAACATCAGGAGTATGTAGTTTTTACAATAATAAAGCACGTAGTATATCCGAAAAATATTAGTTTCATTTAATAACTAATAAATTTTATATATACATACATATAAAGTATTCATATATTTGGGAGGTAGAAATGATTTTTATATCCTTTTTTTGGAGGGTAGAAGTAACAAAAATTATTATAATACCTGTAGCTTAGCTTTTATTTCTCTTTTCTGGTTCATGGGCACTGGCATTGCTTTAATCTGCATGATTTCTTCCCAAGTACGTTCTTCATTTGAGAGGTTTTCTGTCGAAATCATTATAAAATGATGATGGTTTTTTGAAATATAGTCCATTTACAGAATGTCCAACAAAAAGAATGTAGAATTTTAGTAGAATATTATTATTGTAATCTTAAAATGTTTCACTGCGTATAGTATTTACTATACTAAAAACCATGATAGTGTAAAATTTAGGAGCTCCAAATTGATGTTAATTATGATAATTATACGACTCTAGGAAAAAATTGTGTAATACCAATTAATGAAAAACTAGCAAAATAACACAGAAATGCCTATCAATTCTCTATCTAGACTTGATATTTATTTATCTATGTATTTTTCTATTTTAAGACAAGCAAATTATATGCAGTGCAATATCGTTTGACTTATTCTATTCGACCTTTATAGATGACCTTTTAACCTTTGACCCGGCTCAACCTAAAAGTGGCTGAAGCATATGATTGGCCAGATCGAGCGATATATTGGGATTATCAAAATTACGAAGATCATAGACTTAAAAATTATTACTTTTTTATACATCTAATGTACTACATAAATCATATTTTAGAGTCTTAATTTAATTTAGTATTTTTTATCTGCGCTTCATCTTGAGAAAATTGATTGAAAAACAGAAATAGATACAAAAGAAAGTAAGTAAGTATTGTATAACTTAATTTTATAAATAGATAATTTTATTTGGACTTTTTTGTAAACTAGCTGTCCGGCAAACGTTGTTTTGCCATATAAAAAAGGGGTTGGTGATAAAAAAGTAAAAATTTTGGGTTGTATTTATTTTTCAATGGTACATTATAAAAAAAAAGGTGAACAACCCTTAGGACTTTGGGGTATGAAAAATAGATGTTGGCCGATTCTCATACCTACTCAATGCTCATAAAATTTCATCAAAATCGGTTCAGCCGGTTAAAGTACTGTAAAGTCTTGGGAGAAATGATATTAAATATGGTTTTACTTACCAGACAGGTCAGGTAACATGGATAAATGTACGTCCCGGCTATGCGTCGTCCGGGCATACGTGGACTGTCGCCGTTCATTTTGAGAGCGAGCTCGTTTAACTGTGGTCGCTGAAGGATTAAGAGCATATGTAATACTAAACACGTGTTTACATGCGCAAACTAATAACTGATAGTTTGCCGTTTACCGTTAATACTATCATAATCTCTACTTAATAATTGGACTATGAGACACAAGTATGTATACAGGGTGACTGGTGAATTACTATCGATACTTGAGGACGTGATATTTGACGATCATATATGACAAAATAAAAATTAATATAACATAAATATTAATAAACTTCTAAGTAAAGTTAACCAAAAGTTATGTAATTAATTTCGCATCGTGTGAACACCCTACAGATTAGGTATACACACACACACACGCGTGCGGCGGCGTGGTGTTGTATCAGCACGCCGCCGCACGCGTCCACACTTGGAACACTTTAAACGTGTCCACGCTTTATTTATTTATACGGAAATTTGGTCAAAAATTAAGTACCTATTTTTTTTACATAATTCGAATGAGAATCATGTACCGAGTATTCTCCTTAAATATTGATAGTAATTCACCAGTCACCCTATATAATAGATCTCTGTCCAAAAAAATTTTCAAAAAAAAAATTATGGTAAAGACTTCCTTTACTTCTATTATTCTTAGAGAATCATTTTGAATTACGTCTTTAGATCACAAACATCGTAGGGACCTAATATAGGAATATTTCACGAACTTACTGTTTCTCGCCTGTTTCGAGGGTAATAGTGTGGCCAATTTCGCTGCATCAGCTCTTTGGAGGTTTTCAAACAGTTCCCCCTCCCCCCCAGGGTACAATTCCTGGTAGAACTCCCCCCCAGCCTCCTCCCAGCCCTCCTGCTTCTTGGAGCGGGATTTGTTCTTAGAATTACCCCCCGACATTATGACATCTGTAATAAAAATATGTATATACATATATGAAGAACAGATGAAATATTTCTATGTATAAAGTGGCTTAAACCAATAGATAATTATGTTAACCAACATGCATCAAATTTATTTGTATTTGCCAAATAAAACAATTATTATGACCTAATCTTGCAGGTGCTAAAGGGAATTCCAGGATAATTTATAGTTTATATACCATTCTAATGTTTAAACTACATGACTGTAAAGTTTCATGAAAACCAACTCAGTAGTTTTTGAATAAAAGAGCAACAAACTCCATATATTCACAGTCCAAGTGTCACAGTTGTAATATTACTAGCAAGTTTTTAGTAAAATCTCAACACAAATTTGGTTTTCCTTTGTAACATTTTTTTACACTATTTATATAGTAAACAACACAAAATACATAGCATGTACAAAGAATTTAACAAAAAGGAGATGGAAAATCCATATTATTGCAAGCCTTTGTGTAGTTTTGGGTCAACTTTCATATATCCTTTCATAAATTTTGTGTCTCATTCAAGAGAATATTAAAATATTATTTTCTATATATGAAAAAAGATGAAATTAAAGCTTACCACATATAATTACACTTAATTTAAATATACTTGTAGTTTGTAAATGCTCGTCAATAGACTAAACTAATATTATTTTAAGTCACTCACTCATTATCTGATAACGGCAAAGCAATTGTAAGATAAATATAATTATACATATATATGCATAATCTAGGTCTAGGGACTTTTTTGTATTATAATAGCAGATGGAATATTTGAAACTTTCAAAATTAATATATAATCATTTGTATAAAGGAATAGTGTAGAATTAAATATTAATGAACTATGAATCCAATTACCTTAAAAAAATATGTAATTAATAGTTTCTGATATTTAATGATTTATATATACATATATTTGGCAAATTTTCAATCTTTCTAATATTTAAGAAACAATTTAATAAGAAAAACAGATAATTAAACCAAATTTCTAATTTATTTTGTTATCACAAGTGATATGAAAGAAATTATTCATTTTATAAATCAAAATTATTATAGATAACATTTATCATACAATTAACATATTCTGATAAGTCTTTATAGGAATTTATTCAATAAAGTACGGGAATACCGATGGATACTAATCATTACGAGTATAAGAAATATTTCAATTTGTTTTACCAACTTATAAATTGCTTAAGTATGTGTTATATTTTTCCCGACACAACTACTTATACTATTAACTACTACTTATGATATATTACACAAAAACTTTTAATATTACTATGGATTGTCTAATTTAAACTTAACCATAGGAAAATGTAACAAATTCTGTTAAAAATTGCATTTTTTTTATATAAAAGCTGACAAACGAGCAGACGGCCCACTTGATGGTCAGTAATGACCGTTGCTCTGGACATCCACAACATAGACGTTGCAGATGCATTGCCAATCTTAGCTGTGGAGGAAAAGGGAGGGGTGGGATTAAGGAAATACAAGGAAAGGGTGGGAACAGGGAAAGGGAAACCGGCTCTCTCGAATTATCAATGTGTGACATCGTAAGAATAAATTACTGTGATAAGATACAAATCGGTGATTATAATCGCTTTCTTGATAACTTCATTTACTTATATATACATAGATGATCAAATTTAAATAAAATTCTTCATTATTTGTTCATAATTGAAAATATTATTGGATATTTATTTCATTTTATATGCTTTTAGCCTAATATAGTAATTGTCGGTCAATGACAAGTTCCTAATACTCAAATTATTTGAATATATAATAAATTGGTATTTATGTGTAAGAGAATATAATTTTGGTTAATTTAATGAAATAAAAACATTCATAAATTAATAATTGATATAAGATACAAATATTATCATGCATTACAATAAGATATAGAATGATTAATGAAAAACATATTATTTTGGACTCCTTGAACAATTAGGTCCAAAATTTGTAGAACATTTCAACAACTAAATTTAATGACAAAGAAAATAGAACAATATTACTTATTAATGTATTTGTAACAAAAGCTTATTTAATTTATAAAAACACACTATAATTGTTGACAAAAAAAAACTGTCTTTAATGTATTGACTAATATCAGAGTGTCATTTATTCCAAATGCCGTTTTTTCTCTGAAAACATTATTTATTCTTTAAAAGATGATTCATTCTAGCTTTTAATTATCACAACTAAAATATGATTCAGTTTCGTGTATTTTTATAATTATTTCTATTATTTTCACTAACATGTCGCTGTATAATATAAGATATTATTGTATTTAAATTTTTTAATATCAAATTTTAGCTTACAGCTAATTAGACAAGTTTATAATAGTGTGTTATTACTAATCGCACCACAATATTTATATGTAACAAAAGCTTTCTAATGTATTAAAAAAACTTACCATAGTATGTTGATGTTAATATAAAAACTCCTTTGATCACATCCTTTTTTGTTTCCAACACGTTTTTCTTATTCACACAGCTTTAATCGGTATATTTTTATTAAAACAACTAGTTTTATTTCGGACCAAAATAATCGGCTAGGAGTGGTACTGGTGGTGTCCGTTCTGAAACTAGGAATTAAGAAAGCAAGGTTATGATTGACGTAAAGTATTCTTGCCTGTGATTTTTTTTGATAACTGTTTGAAATTTTATAATGAATACTCGTTTTAATAGTTTGTATTACATAAAATCCTAAGTTATTTATTTTTAACAGTTATATTTTTTAAAGCGATATATTTTATATTTACTTCTGAACGTTCACTACAATAATAAGCCAAGTAGCGGTAACCTGTCATAGGTGATACTGCATTGTTTAGATAAAAGTAGGGTACTTTAATTCACACGTTAGTCAACTTTTTCAATTATGATCTTGTCTGAAGATTTTAAAAAGGAATGGAATGCAAAAATATCATCGTATTAATACGATTTAGATTATTTTTACCCTTCAATGAAAAAATGAGTAGAACGAATGAATACGGATTTTTTCTAAATCCGTCAGCCCCACAGGAAATCTATCTATCAGTGGAAATTAGATGAAAACGAACTGTAAAATGCCTCCAATACAATTTCCGCAGATCGACTCTTAAAAAACGACTATCTATTGCTCGCGTAAACAAATCTCTGAGGAAATTTCCTCCATGCAATATCCGGTGCGGGTCGAGATTGGCTGGTATTAGGGGCAATTTAGAGATCGGCCAATAGGTGGCTCTTAAATGCATAAATGGGCCAATCGGCGCCGTTTGACGTTAGAAGAGGTGGTAAGTGGACCAATCTAACTGCCAGTGATATCCTGCGCGAAAAACCCGGGAATTTGCTAAGGCGGCTTGACACCTGCGCAGCATCCCCTCACAGTGACTGAGATCAGATCTCGAAAGTAATGATTATTTCGGTCCGCGGGCGTTAGTTCCACATATTCCCGCTGCGGCGTGGCGATCAACGGGAGTGTAATGTATGTACCTCGATATAGGATCTCTTTAAACGTAATTTTAGCCCTGGAAATTGAAAAATTGCGGATGTAACGCCGGAGTGTAGCAAAGTGCGGGTGATGTGACTCGTTTAATATATTCTACGTATGATTTGAGGCCGTTGTAATACAGTACAGTGTCGTCCATTATTTAGTGATTTTTCAGTATCGCTGCAAGGCGATATCTGCTTGTGACATTTGGGAAATAAAATGTATTATCATTCGGTCTACTGGAAAATGCGTTTTAACTTAGCGGACGTTTGAAATACTGATGGTACTGTGAATGATTGTTATGAATCAGAATCATATAGTTTTTATCTCGCAAGATGCTAAATATTCCATTGAGGCGGACAAAATCGACCGCGTCTTGCGGCCCACACGCGACTCAATACTGAAAATTTCACGGGATCACAAATGGCGCTAGAAAAATTATTGTTGCTCGCCATCATACTAGCCATCGTGAGCGCGGATTACAACGATGAGGTGGAGACGAAGAATAAAACGGAAAAAGCCATGGCGGCGAAAAAGGAGCAGCGGTTTAGGAGCGCTGTGCCGGACCCATCGAAGGGATCCTTCCAGAAGTTGAGCAGCTTGATGAATAGAACGAGCGATAGGAGTTACAGGCGGAGAGATAAGAATATCAACAAGATACGACAGTTGAACCGGCATTCAAACGACGATATGATGAATGACAACGAAGGTTCTATCAGCACGAGTCAGAAGAAATACCCTGATAACGATACTAATTCGTTAGCAGTTAAATTCAAGGTGCTCCGCCCCGAACTGCCTATGTACGACGTGACATTAAAAAGCAGTTACCTGCCACAAGTTTCTGGGGTTTTCTGTGATTTTGAACAGCATAATGGGACGGATACTTGCATGTGGCAGTGGAATACTACGGTTTCAAGCCATGGGCTCGGCTTCAAGGTGGTCAAAGCTGATGATGTAAAGGAAATGAATGAAACTACTAAAGGCATGAAGTTTTCTGGACCAAGCCACGACGCTGACGGTAGTAAAGAAGGTAATTTTGGCAGCTCTGCCAGTATTTTACATTTCTGCCTATTTTATCTCCCACCCCTCCCTCAAATAATAATCAATCAATATTTAATATATTTTATAATTGGTTATATAATAATCTTTCATATGCGACAACGCCTTCGTTTGCTTGTTTTTGGATTATTTTTTTTATTTATTGATATTAAAACCATAGATAATGCGATCGCCGTTTGACATTTGATTTGACAAATGTCATGTAACAAACATGTTTTGTTATACCCCTCTCACTTAATAAATTTAAATCAACTGACTTCCTTTAATTACTATCGAGACTATGATCATTTTAGTTTCTACAAGTATTTCCATAGCTCTTAAATATACATATATATATTAAAGTTAGGTCAGATTTTTTTTTGTTTTATATTATAATGTACAACAAGATATGAATATAACTTCGGTAATCCATTAATAAAATGTTACCATTTTAAAATGTATGGATTAAAAATTTTGTTTTCAATATGCGTTCAAATATCGTTTCTTAATCTCACACGGTATTAACTTCATATATGCGGTCTAACCAAATATACGTTAGATTTGGGTTTATTAAAGTTTCAGGATATATATGTATATATGTGTATGTGTGTGTATTTGTGCGTGTGTTTGTGTGTGTGTGTGTTAAATATTCCAAAAAACCGTTACTATAAATCTCGTTTTTAATTAAAATAACCGATTATACCGAAGTAGTATATATTCGTTTATAAATAGGAAAATCTACGCGTTATTTTTTATGATTTGTACATTATAGGCCTGGTAGATTTTGAAGAGTATCCTTAGGACTTCGTCATCGTCAAAATTGATACGTATAGTTTGGAGTTTATTATTAATAAATCTATTATATATTAATGTTATTTAAGTGTACTATTAACTGTACAGTTTAACGTTGTTAACTCTTAGTAAGGAAGGAAGCTTTAAACTCTTTCTAAGAACTAATATATTTCGTTCTGTTGATTTTTTAAGTTTTTTTACTCTTAGAAAATGTAAAAAATTTCATATATTGATCTGTTTACGTTTTAAATAAACCTTCTTAATATTCAAAGAAACTGAAGTATCAATAATATCATATTTACAGTGTACTAGCTATCGCCCGCGGCTTTTCTCGTAATTCTTATTATTTATTAGTATGTTTTATTAAGGTTTTTCCAGCGCACTATATTCCTACTATGTTTTTCCTATAACATCATAAGCCATAAGGTACAGGATATTTTGAACCTACCACTTTTGGAAGATCGTTTTAACTTTTATTGATATCTACTAAATATATTTAATTAATTATTTATTTAATATATTAATATTAAAACAATAATTATAGGAATTTAATATGAGTGGAATTATCTTTAAGATGCAATGACTCTTGCACTGCAAAGTTAAAAAACATTGGATTGATTTGGAGTTTCGTAAGGAAACTCAATAGATGACATCGCCATCCTAATGTAAAATAATATAGAATGATTAATATATAAACTAAAATCTAAACACATAATCAAAAAATGTCTTTTTTGTAATAATTTCTCTTTATAATCTATCTTTCTTTTCTTTTATAATAATATCTAAATTCTCAAGAGAAGGTTGATTAGTTTTTGAACCCACTAAGGACAGTACTATTTTTTCTATGACATAAAATTTTTCAAAATTATAACTATTTTTAATACATAATTATGTTTTTATTATATATAGATTAATATATTTGTGTCATCATCACTGTTTGTTTCATACAAAAACCATTTCTCGTTTCCGTGAAAGTAGTAAAATAATTAAAGCATTGAAAAGAAGGGATGAGAACAAATCAATGACAAAACTGAAATATATATTGTAAGTTTTTTTTTACTTCATATTCAAATAGTAACTTTATATGTATGTATTTTATTAATTAATTGCGTATTAAAATTTGCGTGAAATACACATACATTCACCCGTACTAACTTGATATAAAACACTAGATTTTCCCTTCGACTTTTTTTGCTTGGACATCGGAATTAGAGAAAACACTTAGTTTCTTTAATTTTCTCTCCAAAAAGTATCTAAAAAAGGGTAATCTATTTTTACGACGCCGACGCATGGCTATCTTTTAAAAATAACCGTTAAAAGTTGAGTAGATAAAGGATTTGGGGTTTTAAAATTATCTTATTATTTTTAACTTAATAATTATGAAATTGCTGTAAAAATGGATAATTAATGGTAAACTTGAAAGCTCTATTTTCTATGTCAATGTTTGTTTTTAGTGATGAATATAATCATTAATATTTGAGACGGATTTAAAAAACTTAGATTAAAATTCATTTAATTTATCGATCGACATAAAAATATAATATCTACATAATTAGCTGCTGCGACCCATTATAAATATTATCATACTAGCTTTCCGCCCGCAGCTTCGCCCGCGTGGAGTTCGGTTATATCGCGTTTCCAAGAGAACCTTTCAAAAGTCTGGGATAAAAACTATTCAATGTTCTTTCTTAAGGTCAACTTTATGTCTGTACCAAATTTCATTAAAATCAGTTTAGTGGTTTAGGCGTGAAAGCGTAACAGACATACAAAGTTACTTTCGCATTTATAATATGTATTAGGAGGCAAGTTTCCCAAATATCCTTTATAGTCTCCCTACTCTGTTGCCGGCTGTAATACGACATGCGATAGATGGAGTACAATTTTTAATTCTTTCGTTACTTTCAAGTTAAACTTAAGACAACCTTATTCTATTTTCTTGTAATTTTATATATAAATACTAGCGTTATTATTATATTTAATTACGTAATTGTTTTTATTATTTTTATATAAATGTGTTTATAATATGCATAGCTTCACTGAATTATTAGATAGACAGATTTTAGTTCTAAGAATTTATATAAAATTCTTTTCTAACTGTGAATTAATAAAGAGTAATAAAGAAAATTGTCAGTGCAAGACAACGTACAAAATTAACTTGTTATAAATACTTCAATCTTTAGGGTTGTCACTTCTGATTTAAAGCTACAAGTTATGTAGCTTTATATTAATATATTTTTATTCGCAACTATTATAAGATATCAAAATATTATTGTTTTAGCTTCAAATATATATAAATGATATTATATTAAGATGGTGTCAACCCTGTTCGTCACGCTAGGACTAAAGATACTCCGTGTAGTCTTGTTTGAACTCAAAATAGATTCTATTCAGCGTTTGTCTGAATGAATGTTGCGATTTTCCTATTCAAATGAATTTAAAGCTATGTCTGTCCGTGGGCGGCATGTAAACGTGTGTCCTTTTACGAAATTATCACTTAAAACTTTTAAATGAGCATATTTATATGAGAAAAGAAATTTATATTTAATATTATAAATGCGAAAGTAACTCTGTCTGTTATTCTTTCACGCCTAAACCACTGAACTGATTTTAATGAAATTTGGTATACATAGAATTGACCTTGAGAAAGATCATAGGGTAGTTTTTATTCCAGACTTTTGAAAAGTTCTCTGGGAAACGCGACATAACCGAACTCCACGCGGGCGAAGCTGCGGGCGGAAAGCTAGTTGATTATATGACGAAAATTTTGTTTTATTTAAACTTTAATTGTGAAATATTTGATCTGATTGGCTTGAACTGCATTTTAGGTAAACACATTCGCTTTTCTATCAAATAAATCTCTCATTATCTACAGCTATACACAAAAATCAATCAGTCTTTTTAAAAAAATGAAAAGACACCTAATGCTCTCTTAAATCAAAGTTGAAACTATATTATTTATATACAAAATAACCGATTTCATGTTTTCAAAGTAGTCTTTAATCGCAATATCTTCGCAACACTTCCTTAAAATAGTCACGTATCGTGTATTCGCAATGCTTACTCGAGTTTTGTATCTACAACTAATTTAAATAGTTACAAAGTTAAATCTACAAATACTATGTTTATTTGTATATGTTGCTTCTATTTAAAAACAAATTATTTAAAATTATATCCATTGTCTTGCTTTTTAAAGTAAAAAAGTATAAATAAAGTTTATATTAATTTAATTTTTGAGTAGGTCAACATTTAGCTGGCGAAGATGGCAACTATTTTCACGTCGTCTTATGTCAAGGACATCAGTAAATGGTTGCTTTGCGTTTCGTTACACGATGCTTTTAATATAATCATTTCAAATTTAAAAATAAATTATATCTTTCACTAAATCTTGCATTAGATCGCTATTTTGGGTATCATAGTTATTGACAAGAATTAAATATAGAAATTTTTAACATTTTTCATGAATTTTTGAATTATAGAAAAACAGAACATTATAGTACTAGTTCAAACTTAAAAATCAAGGTTATTGAAGCAGTCATTATATAAATTTTTGTTTTGATTGAGGTTTTTACTTTCAGGACATTTCCTCTACCTTCCAGTGGATCCTACGATGGAAAACATGGTGATTAAGTCACCACCATTCAGAGGATTGTGGGAGTTTTGCAAGGTACGTTTAGATGAGGGTAGTTGGTAATTATTAATATGACAACTAAATCCATTTAAATTTTGTGGTCAACTTTATATCATTGGAAGAGAGACTTGTCAAATGTTTAAAATAGAGGTATTTCATTTAGGTTGGAACATTAAAATTTGAAATAGTTATTTAGGAAATTAAACCTTGTTATATATTGTCGTAATCAGATAATCGATTGATCCATTATTATGAGTATACGACCGCTAATATAATTTTATAGTCTAAGGGTCTAGCTAGTATCTTACGTATATTTAACCTCTTAGTTTGAAGCACGGTTACATCAGAGCAAGATGCAGAACGCCAGCATCCGATTGGTCTCCGAATCCACGATGTCGGAGGTCCAATGGATCTTGCAAGAAGTGGCCGGGAATAACTTCGAAATGTAAGTCATATATTATCATACAAAGACCGTTTTTGCAGGAAAAATATATTTATATAACATATATAATTGAGGATTGAGGATCCTGGCCCGGGCTAGTACCAATGTGATTTTTCCGAGTCATATGTACTTTCTAAGTGTATTTAGACATCACTGATTAATGCACTCCCAAAGAGGGTTGATGTCAAGCAGGCGGCCGGTTGTAGAAATAATTAGCCAAAAACTATTCACATGTAAGGCAGACCCTGGCTATAGCTGAGAAATTGCCAGGTAGAAGTAAGCATATAATTGAGGATTATCAAACTAAACTACAATTTGTTTCTCTGAAAATACAAAGTTTTTATATATGTATAACAATTATCTTTTAACTATGACAATTACACTTTTATCTTACCTGAAAATACAAAGAAACGACATTAAAGTCCATTAATATCACCTCCTCAATTACAATTAGTTTATCTCTCTACAAGTTTTAATAATCATAAAATGCATAAAAATTTAAACATAATCCGCGATTAATGACGCTTCTAATGTCACCTTATAAATGCGGGAAGCGCGGCAAATTTTAGTTTAATGAAATGTCATTTCCTTATATTTATTCTTCTGCTACCTGGCAATTTCCCAGCTTTAGCCAGGGTCTGCATTCATGTTGTGAATAGTTTTGGCTAATTGTTTTTACGATCCGCCTGCCTGACATCAACCCTCTTTGGGAATGCATTAATCAGTGATGTCTAAATACTCTTAGAAAGTACATATGACTCGGAAAAATCACATTGGTACTTGCCAGGATCGAACTCGAGCTCTCGTGCATGAGAAGGCCTTTAACCACTAGGCAGTAGGCCATCACTAACTGATTTCCTTATTATATTCTACAGATGGAATCCAATGCGCTTTATAATAGGGAGAGTTCAGCAGGAAGTACGTATTATAGTAGAAATCACCCGTCCAAGTTTTGTCAACATGACGCAGACCTTGCCTCACATAGCCCTTGATAATATACGAATGGTGGACTGTCTTCCCGAACCTCCAGTGTTTAATGGGGAATGCCAGACTGGCCAGCTGAAGTGTAAAATTATGAATGTAAGTATTATTAATTAGTTTAAATCGCTAATTTACTCTTTTTTCATCCATTTTGAGGTGAAGTAAGGATAAAATGTCGTGAATTCAAATTTAAGTTTGATTTTTAATTTAATCTTAGAGCATCTATCTTAATTTGGTGTAAATGATATTTTAGTCATGATTTAGTTTAGCTAAGTACGGCATTAATGCCATTACAGCTAATTACGGCATTAAACTATTTCATTTGAAGGAGCACAGCTGTACAATTCTTTGCCTCTAAGTGTTGTCAATTCAAAATCTCCTATTTAAAAAACGATTAAGAACCCATATATTAGAAGATTTCACTGATCTTGTTTAATATAACTACTGTTTATTATTTGTAATCTTACTTGTAGTTATAATTTTTAAAATTTCCTTTGTAAGCGAACTTTGTTCTTTCTGGAAATAAACTTGTTTAAACCTTCTTAGTGAACTCATTTCAATCATGATCAGAGTCTAAGATAAATTTCTTAATTCCTATAATACCTATCATAAGAATTTCCTACGAAAATATATCATTTACAAACCAGTGTCTAGAATACATTCTATGTTAAGTCTAGATTCTATATTAGTATTTTTTATACAACTAAAAGCATCTCATAAGTATTATATATTGTAGAAGGAGTCGTGCATCAAGTTACAGCGAGTCTGCGATTTAGTGAGAGACTGTGATGACAACAGCGACGAAAATCAAAATTGTGGTGCGTATCACCAAAAACTTCCCAAAAAATACTCTACCAAAAACCAAAAATATCAAAAATTCTATCACAAATTATATTTTCAGATAAAATGCCCTACGGATCTTATTGTAATTTCGAACAGGATAATTGCGGATTTGAAAACGTGCCACAGTAAGTATATACTCAATTATCATTTTAAGTCTATCACCAAATACTAATACAGTTAAATTTCAGGCGTATCCTAAAGTGGTCTAGACATAGCGGGCCCACGCCCACGGATAAGACTGGCCCAAATTATGATCACACTTGTGGCCCGCCCACGGCTTTTACCACGGCCAACCCAATGGTACCATTATCGCCTGCCCACATGAACCATTCCCTTACATGCGTGGGTTATTACTTCTTCGTGAACATGAATGTCACAGGACCAAATAAAGAAAGAGCAGATTTCGCGTCAACTGCTGTCATGAAAACCGTCATATTCAATCCACCGCCTAAAGTCCATGGGGACATCAATTCAAGATACTATAATTGTTGTATGGTAAGTCTTAAAACTAATATATATAGTATTTTAACATGATTTTTATTTGAGATCTTTTAAGCCCATATAATCTCCTATAAGTAGGACTAAAATTAAACAAAATTTAATTATGATTACGATAATTGATGTATAATAAGTTATTTTAGTTAAGACACCACTGACAGATGAAGGAAAACATCGTAAGGAAATCTGGACTTATAATTTCACAATTATAAGTTTGAAATCACCAACCCGTCTTGAGCAAGCGTGGTGATTAATGCTCTAATCTTCTCCATGTGAGAAGAGACTCAGCAGTGGGCTCTGATAGGCTGATGATGAATGAAGTTTTATAGGACTATTTTAGAATTTTAAAATCACTTAAACACAATTTCTTTTAGAACTTAGTAAAATTATTTAAAATCCTAATTAAAACTGAACAAAATTTAATCAAAATTACGATAGTACATATATAGATTAAGTTGTAAAAAACACAGTTTAGTTTTTGCGACCAGTTTAATTGATCCCTTCAAATTGTATATTCCATAATAGATAAGGTTCTACTACCAACAAAATGGAAGGAACTATGGGTCTTTGAGTGTGGACGTGGTTGAACTCACTCCAAGAGGTAATATCACCACGTCGCTCTGGTTCTCAACCAAAGACAAAGGAGAAAACTGGTTCAGGGCGGGAATATTTCTACCAAACATTACTAGAAGGTAAGTTTTTGGTAGGAAATTGATATTAAAAACAACTTCATTTATTGACGATATTCACATATCGTTCGGGATAGTGCAAATCCAAAAATTAAATTATAAAAAATTACTAATTGTGAAAAAATGTCCTTAAAATTCGTTAATATAGAAAATATTTCAACTCAAACTTTCTTCTGATAATCTGCTTCCAATGTAGATACGCGGAATTATACAATGCTAGTTACGCGGATTTACACTATCCCCTACTATATAGCGTATTTAACGATTTGGCTAATGATGTTGATTTATATATCTTTAATATCTCTTTCGAAGTCAAAACGACTAAATTATGTGTCTTCTATTCCTACAAAACTGCATTTTTAACTCAATTTCTAATTTCTATCTAATTATAATGCGACCTACCTTCATAGATCCATATTCGCGTCTATTACTGACCCTTAAACTGGGTCAATGGGACACTTTCTAATTTTTCTCATCTCATAGTTTAATATAATCACTAATATTAAACGCGAAAGATTTTTATTTGTAAGTTATTTAATACCTGCTTAAGAACATAATTTATTTCAATGACACTATCCAACATTTTCGTATTATTTCAACCGCTTTATGACAAAAAATGGACCAGAATTACTATATCCCTACTAATATTATAAATGCGAAAGTAACTCTGTCTGTCTGTTACGCTTTCACGCATAAACCACTGAACTGATTTTAATGAAATTTGGTACAGACATAGAGTTGACCTTGAGAAAGAACATAGGATAGCTTTTATCCCAGACTTTTGCAAGGTTCTCTTGGAAACGCGATATAACCGAACTCCACGCGGGCGAAGCTGCGGTCGGAAAGCTAGTCATCAATATTTTTAAACCAAATATGTTTCAGATACTACTTCCTTTTCAAGACTCGTATGGGCATGCGGATATACTCGGATTCCGCCATCGATGACTTTTCTATGGCTCCAGAATGTTTCGGTTTCAATATAAACGCTACAGAACTAGGAGATTATAATTACTACGATCCTATATTCGATGAGAAGACAACGCCTCATCCAGACTTCGTGGACGCCACAAGTGAGTTATTGTTACATTCCTTAACAGAATATGAGCTGATTTTGATGAGAATTCTTCGTCAAAATAAGTATAATTATGGAAATGAAATGGATGTTAAGAAATTATTACTTTGTTTAATAGAAATATATAGAAATTTTATAATTTTAAACAAGAAATCACAGTCTCATTTAACGAATGTGATTTAAGATTGCATGGCACAAAAAATTCTTATAATACAATTTGTATAAATACAACATATAAATTGGTAAAAGTAAATTATACCAATTGGTTTTTGACAACTATGTACCTTCAAAACCAAAAACTATATTGTTCGAAAGTACTTACAAAACTTTATAAGCTTGTATAATTATCTACTAAATCTGATAAAGGCCATCAATCTATTTATTAAACCAGTCCAAACCAAACCAAACAATTACAAACTACTCTAAACCAGTACAAAACCACAAAACTTTTATAAGCCTGGTTAACTATCTAATGTATCTGATAAAGACCATCAATCTACTTATTGAACCAGTTCAAACCCAACCAAACCAAACCAAACAAGTACAAAACCACTAAACTCTATAAGCTTGGATAGTTCGAAAATATATCTGACGAAGGCCTTCAGTCTAGGGCCTTATTGAACCAGTCCAAACCAGTCTAAACCAGTTCAAACCAGCGTTAAAACCACCCTATCTATATTCCAGTGTATCGCTTCTCGACGTGTAACGCGACCGGTCGTTTCGGTCCCCAGCAGGAGCAGTGTGACGCTTCCTATACGAACACAGAGGGAGGGGTGGTCGTCATGAACACTCCGGGGATGAGGGGGGTGCAGGTGTGGGAGGTGCCTAGCGAGGGGCTCTATACGTGAGTACAAGTATAAATGAGAATATATTGTAGTATGAAATATACGTATATAGATGATATTATTATATCCAGTGGCGGCTGTACCTTAAGTGCACTCGTGCGCTGAACCACCAATTCAAAAAATTAAAAATTACAAAATATTACTTCATCTTTATTTTTAAATTACCATTTTAATATTTATTTTCTAAACATACAAAAACTTATAAAAAGTTAAATTTCTAATTATAGTCAAAAAGTTTGAGCGGTTTACTAAACTAATATCTCGTGCGCTTCGGTGAGTGCACGAGGACACCTAATACATCTTGTATGAGATAGGAGTTAATACGCCTGACGCGTGAAACAAAAAATAGTTCATAGAAATGTACCGAGTAATGAGTCGGTTCTCGAGCGCCGCACGAGCGGCCGAAGATTACCGAGAGCACCCGATGTATGACGAATTGGAATTGAAAAGAATCAAAACTTTTCTCCGAAATACCTTGCACTTGCTAAATGCACTTTCTGTGCTTAGTATTGAATAAAAAAAAATTATACAAACAATACCCGATTTTAATAAATAGGTGATTGAACATTTCGCTTCGGAAAAATGTCGTTGCATTAATTAATGTACAAAAAAATAAACATATTTTATGTCAGTTGGTGTTTTGTTGCATTTTCTAATTTTAATATTTTAGTAAAGTGCACCACCAGTTCGATAGCCCACCAGCCGCCACTGATTATATCGAACATACTACTACCCTGACTACTCAGTATATATAAGTGCAAAATTTACCAAAGCAATACATAAGTGTCTATTAAATTAAAACTCAGATGTAATTAACAATGGCCCAGTATTTATTATTTAATATTCTAGTGCGATGATTACCATATACATAAATCCAATTGTATCATACAAAAAGATTACATAAGAATTAAGAATATGTACCTCAATATATACAATTAGTTTTTGCTCGCGATTTCGTCCGCATTCATTTCGGCATTAGTAATATATGCATAGCTGAGTGGGGAAAATTCTATAAATAACCAGATGTTGGAATTTATTAAGTTTTTTCTTTTTTTCTATGTCCATATCTCCTAGTTCTAATCTATCTCTCCACCAATTTTCAACCATATCCGTACAGCCATTCTTGAGTTATAAATAGTGTAACTAACAAGATTTTCTTTTATATATATATATAATAAATAAATTATTGGTAGAAAAGTACCCTCAATATGATTAATAATAATGAAAGTTATTCATATATCTCCATCAGTATAATAGCTACGGGAGCGTCTGGCGGTTTGGGCTCGATGTGGGCGGGCGTGTCTCACGGCTCGTCTGCCAGGGGACTGTTCGAGCTGCACCGCGGGGAGAAGGTGTACATGATGATAGGACAACAGGGGATGAACGCCTGCAAGAAGGTGAGGGTAGAGAATATTTGGTCATACCAACATACTATTAAATATTTTGTAAAACTTTGGCCTATACAGCTTATAAATTATAGTACTCTAGCCGCTAGTGCTTATAAATTAAATAAATTTGTGTCCCGCTGATACTTTACAGTATTCTACATATAATGACTAGTGCTCATAAATAAATTATGTAAAAAATTTGTGTCACTTGTAAGAAACAACCCTTCCCAATATCAAATCAAAATTTTATCAAAATTTCCTTCTTAACGTAATCTTCCATAGCATTATGATTTCTCCATTTTTTTCAGCAAAATCCAAAACGTAATATTCATATAATTCCAGACTCTATCAGCTCAAGAGAGCCAGGAATGTTCTAGAAGGGCGAATGAGAGCACACAAGTGTTCACCAGCAAGACTCACGAGATACGGAACACACACGTCAACGATGGAGGAGGCGGGGGAGGGGGCGCTACATACGTGTTCCTGGTGAATATAACACATATATATAATACTACGACCAAAACTTTTATTGGGACAAATGGGATCAAATATACGCTATCTTGTTCAAATAGCTACTATAGTGAATTTGATTTAAGCTGAGCTTTCCATTTGTCTGAGTGTACACGGATAGTGTAGGTGTGATGTTAATTTTTGAATGAAACGTTTTTTTCTAGTTTTGAACCGGTTTATTCTGCTTTTACTTCGCCCCGCACCTTCCGCACTTCACCTTTTGTACTGATAGCAAAATCAAATGTTGAAAACGCAATGACAAGTCAAGAATTTGTATTGTTTTGTCAAAATTTTTATTACTAAAGAATTTTTTTTCCATAATGTTTCCATTTGGCCTTTTACAAGTATTGCTTATTTCAATTTTAATCTAGAATAGATTTAGGACTTATATTATGTATCTATTTCAAATATAATAAAATTTAATTCTAAAAGTTTTTTGTCTAACTCTACTTTAACTCACACAAATGCAAAGCTCAGCTTAAGTCTAACGGACTATACAAATACTATTTTCATAATATTTGTAATTAATTCATTTTCTTTCATATTACTTCTGTTAGTTAAGGATTTTCTTATGCTAGATATAGTCTCCAAAAAAAATATACAAAATGTCCTTTAAATTTCTATATACTTTTGTATCTACCAAGATTTTAATTGGAGATAATTTTTCCCAAAAGATGGATAGAGAGGGCCAGCCGATTCCTTTGTTAGTGGGAGGAGGTGGTGGGGGGCTGTCTGTTGGGGTGTTCAAAGATGATGGATCACAACACGCCCGGGGAAGAACAAATACGACACCGGAATCCGGATATATGTACGGCCAACCCGGACGTACTTCCGGTAAACACAATATATACATACCTATATCTTCTTCTTCTTAGCAATTTCCCAGTTTTAGTCAGGGTCTGCCTAAAAATAACTCTACAACAGAACATGATAATATATATATCTAAATATTTATACTTATTTAGAATTTAAATCTTAAAGACCAAAAAGATTTTGAAAAGAAAGAAAAAACGGCGCTTCTAGAACCGAATATATAGAAAATGTTGTCTTTAGAGTATTAGCGTTAAAAATAAGATAAATATCCCAAAACGTCGATTAAAATTAAATAAAAACATTTGTGAACATATATTCATATAATTAGTTATCACTCTACTAATATTATAATTGCCAAAGTTTGTGAGTGTGTGTGTATGTTTGTTACTTCTTCGCGCTCAAACGGCTGAACCGATTTTGATAAGATTTTGTATACAGGAAGCTGACGTCCACGAATAAGACATAGGCTACTTTACATCCCGCGGGGCGGAGCTAGTTATAAATAATAATGTATATTTCTATATTGTTATTTTCAGGAGCTGGTGGTGGCTGGATATCTCGTTCAGGACCTATAACTCCTGGCTTCGAGCTGGTTCGAGGGGCTGCCTTCAGGGAGGGAGGAGTGGGGGGCCTCGCGTGTACGGGCGGGGCTCACGGGGGGTACGGCGGAGGAGGGGGAGGATGTCTGAGGGGAGGAGGGGGAGGGGGATGGGTTGGTCAGTATATATATATATTATATGAATATAATAGGTTTTGGTCAAAAGAAGTCTAATATATGAAATTGAATTGGCTCATCCCTACTAATATTATAAATGCATAAGTAACTCTGTCTGTGTGTTTGTTACGCTTTCAAGCCTAAACCACTGAACTGATTTTAATGAAATTTGGTACAGAGATGGAGTTGAACTTGAGAAAGAACATAGGATAGTTTGTATGAATGACTTTTGAAAGGTTCTCTTGGAAAGAGATATAAGCGAACTTTACGCGGGCGAAGCCGCGGGCGCATAGTTAGTTATGATGTATATTGTCAATTGTACTACAAAATATACCAATATGCAAAAATTGATTTAAATAAATGAAACCTATATTTTTCGGATTATTCTGCGCTTGCTTTATTATTTTAAAACTACATACTCCCGACGTTTCGGTTATTTTTAAACAACCGCGATTTTAGACGAGATCTATCACGTAGTATATCCGAAAAATATTAGTTACATATACACACTCACGAAAGTCTTATTATCTTATCTTATTAATTTAAATTACCAAAAATATATATATTTTTACTTACTCATCCTTGTTCCCAGGTGGTAATACCAATGAGGGGGAGGGTCAACACGGTGGTGGGGGGTGGTCGTTTGTTGACGTCACGCGCGGGGTGAGGGAGTTCGGTGACGTCACCATGGCGCCGCGCACCGGCCCCGGGGAAGTTGTCATTATACCGGCTATACATGTAAGTATATATTTCTATACAGGGTGACTGGTGAATTACTATCGATACTTGAGGACGTGATATTTGACGATCATATATGACAAAATAAAAATTAATATAACATAAATATTAATAAACTTCTAAGTAAAGTTTGTCAAAATTTTGTCAAAAATTATTGCCTATTTTTTTTATATAATTTGAATGAGAATCATGTACCGAGTATTCTCCTTAAATATTGATAGTAATTCACCAGTCACCCTGTATATTGTTTAAAGAACTATTTGATATATGTTCAAATAATAATTAGGATTATTAGTACACCATTTTGATATAATAAGATTTTAAATAAATTACTATCGTTAATATAAAAAATAGTATTGGTTCATATTTTTTTCAAAAATGCTTCCAAAATTTATAACGAGACCTAAAAATATATTTGTTGACAATGATTTATGTTTCCTATATATTAAATATAAAAATCTATAACAGTCTTCATAGTAATGATCATTTTATCCACGAAAATTCGTTAGAGATTTTAGTTGCTATAAGTCAGTGGTGTCCTAGTGGTTTAAAAACCCGCCTCTCATGCATGAGGGCGCAGGTTCGATCCGGGCAAGTGCCAATGTGATTTTTCCGAGTCATATGTACTTTATAAGAGTATTTAGACATCACTGATTAAAGCATTCCCAAAGAGGGTTGATGTTAGGCAGCCGGCCGGTCGCAAAAGCAAAGGCAGACCCTGGCTAAAGCTGGGAAATTGCCAGGTAGAAGATATATGTTGCTATATATTTACTTATTTATACAGAAATGCGGTTGTAACTACCGCTGCGTGGCGTTAGATGAACAGCGCGCTAATGTTCGCTGTTACTGTCCCGCGGCCTGGCGAGCTGACCACGGCGACCCCACCAAGTGTGTCTGTGAGTATTACACACACACACACACACACACACACACAGACATTATATAGAAGTGAAACTTCCATACACTACCAACAAACGTTACATGTTCAATACTCCTCTAATGTTTATTTAAAAAAATATCTAACAGTCAATGAAACACGTCAGTAAAAGATTTTTTTATATAATAAGTAGATTTGCTTTGTTTACAACTTTATTCATATAAAAAAAATATATATCCCACTTAACTCAGCTGATTGACTTTTTAACCTACACAAATATATATATATTCTAGTTTCCAAAAAAAGATATTATTTTAAACAAGATAATTAACAATAACCTACTTTTTGTTTATGGGATTAATAAAGTTTTGGACCAACTATCGAATCAAACGTATGAAATTTCCATTTTTTGTTGTAGTGGAAAAAGCTTGGCCGGAAATGTGGTGGGGTCTTCTAATATTCCTTGGAGTCATAGTTGTTATATCCGTTGGCATCATACTGTGTGTCTGTCTTCACCTCTGTAAGTATTATACATGATAACAAAATATATTTTATTGTAATACCAAAAAAAAAAGTACAAAAATAGTTATATTTATTTATGTTTATAAATAGTTTCTTGACGATAGATAAATGCAAATAAATTAAAGTCTAAAGCAAAAAATCTAATCCACAGATAATAAATACCAACGTAAAAAGGAAGCGGAATTACGTCAGAAAAGGCTTTTAGAACAGGAAGTACAGTTGCATAGATTACGAACAACCCCTGGTGGTGATAACGCATTAAGTATGGCTTTCAACCCCCATTACGGAAGTGAGAGTTTTCTGCCACAAGGGGTTGATGTCAGGGGTCTGCCTAAAGTGGCCAGAGAAAGTCTTACTTTAGTCAAGTAAGTATATGTATTTAATATCTCCTTCTTGCTGGCAATTTCCCAGCTTTAGCCAGGGTCTGCCTTCCTACATAAACGCCTCCACTTTGCACGGTCTTTGGCATCCTCGGTGGTTAATCTATTTAATATGTTCATTTAAATACAAATCAATTGATATTGTTATAAAACTGTTAAATAATTAAATTTCTTTTCAATCATATAATTGATCCAAAGAAAACAATCTTGTGATAATTACTAATGTTTAATATTTAGTGCATGCTGTGATTACCTATAAAAAGAAATACAATTATCAAGTGTGATCAATTGTTAACTATATAATATTTGTAATACTATTGTCATTTCTGTTGGTGATCCTATAAAATAAATAAATATGTTATTTATATTTCCACGTCACAAAATTAGTTACCGTATTCCTCCGAAACGGCTTTACCGATTTTCACCAAACTTTATATTTCATTCAGTAGATCTGAGAATCGGTTGCTAACTATTTTTCATACCCCAAGCGATAAAGATTGACCAAAATATTTTTTTTAATTTTTAGATGATTTTTGTTTTTATTTATCTTTATATATATAATTCTTCTGTGAGTGTGTATGTCACTGAACTTCTCTCAAACGACTGGACCGATTTTGATGAAATTTTTTGTGTGTGTTCAAGGGGATCTGTGAATGGTTTAGATTCACAATTTTGTCGGCTGGACAATGTTTTATTAATTAATTTTTAATTTATTAGTAGTTGTTGATACAAACTTTTTTTTGACATTAGATTTGACAACTAACTAATATGTCAATCATTCTGTCGCACTTCAAAACACGGAGATTTATGGTTTTAATAGATAAACTCCAAAAATTTAAATAAAAAAACGTAACAGATATTTCTTGATTATAGGGCGATACGAAGTTCGTCGGGTCTTCTAGTATACATATAAAGTTGATTAAAAAAACATACAACCCTATAATTTTATATGGAAAACAAAAATTCCTTACATTCTGTTAAGTAGAGCCTATATATTTATAGAGCCTTGGGTCAAGGTGCTTTCGGCGAGGTATATCAGGGTCTCTACCGTCATAGAGGCGGGGAGAGCGAAGAAATGCCAGTCGCTGTTAAAACTCTACCAGAACTATCAACGGGCCAGGCTGAGTCAGATTTCTTGATGGAGGCCGCTATAATGGCTAAATTCAATCATCCGAATATAGTTCACTTGATAGGCGTGTGCTTTGATAGACATCCGAGGTAACACAAAATCTTATTAGTATAAGAAATTTACTTATAAAGGAATGTACTATTTGTGGTAATTGGTAGTGACTAGTAACTACATAGAACTCTTAAGAACGGCTCAATTAAAAAACCAAAGCTACTAATAGTAGTGACCTTCTTGCATATATTGTTATATGTTTCTCAAAATATTATAATTATCAGATTTTTTATATCTCACGCTTAATGCTTTATAAAAGTTATTTTAAAATTTGAAGTGATAGTTATTTTGCAATTTGGCAATTATATGCTATTGCAATGTAATGACCCTATAGATAATATTTTGTCTTGTTTCATATATCAATATATCTATTTTTGTATCTTCAGAATTAACAATACCGAAAAGATTGTTCTGTTAAAGGGTTCATTCAAATCAATATTTCAAAATAAATATAATGTGACCCAAACTTTATATTTTTAAGCGTTATTCTATATTCAGGTTCATAGTATTGGAACTGCTGGCTGGTGGAGATTTGAAGAACTTCCTAAGAGAGAGTCGCCCAAGACCTGAACGAGCCAGCGCCCTCACTATGAAAGATCTCCTTCTGTGCGCACTCGATGTGTGTAAAGGATGCAAATATTTGGAGGCCAAAAGATTCGTGCACAGGTACGAAACAAGTGCAGCTAATTTTCTACAACCTTATAAATTTTCTTCTCCTACTTGGCGATTTCCCAGCTTTAGCCAGGGTCTGCCTTACATGTTGTGAAAAGTTCTAGCTAATTGTTTTTACGATTCGCCTGCGTGACACCAACCCTCTTTGGGAATGCATTAATCAGTGATGTCTAAATACTCTTAAAAAGTACATATGATTCGGAAAAATCACATTGGTACTTGACTGGCTCGAACACGCGCCCTCTTGTATGAGAGGCGGGCCTTTTAACCACTAGGACATCACTACAATCACCTAAATATTTACTCATATATTTTTTTGCCAACATATATATCTAAGATATCCTCAAAATATTCTATTATCTATACCAATTATTGAATATTTTTCTTCTTCCAGGGATATAGCCGCTCGTAATTGCCTCCTAACATCCCGCGGCCCGGGCAGGGTTGTCAAGATAGCTGATTTTGGTATGGCGAGAGATATATACCGCTCTGATTATTACAAGAAGGGAGGTAAAGCCATGCTGCCTATTAAGTGGATGCCACCGGAAGCGTATATAGACGGAATATTCACTGTCAAGACTGATGTGTGGTATGTATAATAATAATATACTTTATAGTACACCACAATAACATAGTAATTTAACAATAAAAATGTAATATATACAAAATAAAAGTAGATGCACAATAAGGCTGTCTTATCGCTAGGTAGCGATTTCTACCAGACTAATATACTAGCTATATACTAATTTATGTCCTAATCAAAAAATATCTATGTTTTGGTCTATATTTTAATATGTATACAGTATGGATAAGACTATACTTGACTTGATAACTCATATGCATGACTATAGTAGGCATAGACGTTCATATAAATAATTTTTAAGCTCGCTTGACTTAGTCAATATCTAAATACGAAAGTATCTCTGTCGAACTGTCTGTCTGTTACGCTTTCACGTCTAAACCACTGAACTGATTTTAATGGAATTTGGTACAGACATAGAGTTGACCTTGAGAAAGAACATAGAATAGTTTTTATCCTTGACTTTTGAAAGGTTCTCTTGGAAACGCGATATAACCGAACTCCACGTGGACAAAGCTGCGGGCGGAAAGCTAGTCCCTACTAATATTATAAATGCGAAAGTAACTCTGTCTGTCTGTCTGTCTGTCTGTCTGCTACGCTTTCACGCCTAAACCACTGAACTGATTTTAATGAAATTCGGTACAGAGATAGAGTTGACCTTGAGAAAGAACATAGGATAGTTTTTATCCCAGACTTTTGAAAGGTTCTCTTGGAAACGCGATATAACCGAACTCCACGCGGCGAAGCTGCGGGCGGAAAGCTAGTTTTTTATAAATCATAATTTAAATGTCATATGTTCATTATCTCGTTATTACCACAATTTGATCAAGCTCAAAGATTTGACTAGATATCGTCACTTATTTGGTATAAACAAAAACCTATTAGTGCTAAAGATCCTATATTGATGGAATACATCAAAGGTTCAACTGAAATCAGTCGTCACCTTAATCATATGACCTTTGATGCAATTTTACTTTATTTTTTTGACATCCACACATTTTATTGGTCATGTTTAGATAACTACCCTCCAATTTGTAACTTGTATCAAATTGGAATTACATGAGCCTAGCGACTAAAATGAATACATTAGATTCTTATTTAATATTAATAGATATTTTATAAATAATAATATTTAGCTTTACTTTGTTTTTCTCAAGAAAATTTAAAATAAAACGTATTTTAATTTATTTTGTATCATCACTTCCCATTATCCCAAGTAATGTTTATGTCAAGAAAAGTATTTGATTCAATATTAATAAAAAATTGACTACGTCTACCATACATCTCTTCATTTTCGACTCAATGACATTGGATATCAAATAATTTTAAATACACAGTATAGTCCGCTAGACTTAAGCTGAGCTTTACATTTGTGTGAGTGAAAGTAAAAGTAGAGTTAGACAACAAACTTTTAGAATTCAATTTAATTATATTCTAAATAGATACATAACATAAGTGCTGGAGCTATTCTAGATAAAATAAAATAAGCAAATTTTGGAAATATTATGGAAAAGAAATTATTAATTAATAAAAATTTTGAAAAAACTTTACAAATTGTTCTTCACTTGACATTGCGTTTTCAACATTTGATATTGCTATCAGTACAAAGGTTGAAGTGAGGAAGGTGCGGGGCGGAGTAAAAGCAGAATAAACCGGTTCAAATTCAAAAAATAACGTGGCATTTAAAAATTTGACATCACACCTACACTATCCGTGTGCACTCACATAAATGCAAAGCTCAGCTTAAATCACTTCGACAAACAGCAGATTTAATAGAAGCATATCACCAGGTCGTACGGTGTGTTGTTATGGGAGGTGTTCTCCCTCGGCATCATGCCTTACACCGGCTGCTCCAACAGAGAAGTCATGCAGATGGTTTCTGGAGGAGGGAGATTAGAACGACCACATGGTAAGATAGAAATATGAGATACAGTAATATCCTGCTTAACGCGACCCCGTTATACGCGGTTTCACTATAACACGAATTTCAAAAATTTATTCAGATTTGGACATATTGCATAGCATAGATAATAATGATGACCGCGTCTTGACCGTGTGTTAAACAATTAAAAACAGTGTTGGGTGTTATGACCGTATTTTACAAGAACGTAAACAAAACGCTACCCAAAAGGCAAAACATGTATTTTTTTGTAAACAATAGGAGTATGTACCTATGTATTGTAGTGTTCTTAGAATTAAAGTGATTGATTAAAATGATTTTTATATTTGTGTATTTAATTTTGTACTGTGTTTAATCATAAAGCTCGATATACGCGAATTTCAGTTAACGCGATATTCTTCGGAACGTATCCCTCGCGTAAAGCGGGGTATTACTGTAATGAAGTAATAGTCTCAACTGATTCAGTTGAATAACTTTTGTTATCATTTTGAATTTAATATTAATAAATTTAATTCTCGTTTCTTTACTAACACTGTATTTTGTGTAGTAAAATGAAATTATGTTTTACGAATTTAAGGGTCAAATTACTAAAACTTATTGATACGTCTTAAATATAATGATCTATACGTTACGTATAATATAAACCCAATATATCATCAATAATGAATTATAAGATGACGAATATGATATTCACATCTCGTCTGCCCGTGATTACGATTGCTGTAAAGTAACGTTGGGAGTATATTGTTAAAATAATAATAAAACACGCGAAGTAATCAGAAAATATTATTTTTATTCAAATGACCTATGAAAACCATAGAAAGTTATAAATTAAAATCAATGAATGTTAAGTCTGAAATTTGTTCAATTTATTTCACACAATTCGCAATACAAATGTTAAAAGTATACAACACTAATGTCTTCCCCAGGCTGTCCTCCCGAGATTTATCGTTTAATGTGTGAGTGTTGGAACCCGGCGCCGTCTGAGCGACCTTCCTTCGCGCAGATGTTCGACAGGCTTCAGAGATATTTACAGGTATATAATAATATACATATATATTGACACAATCTTTTTAATATGAAATTCTTATCTGACTGTATTAACATCACAATACATGTACATGTTGAGAGTTTGACAAAACTTAATCTACCCGCACCTATAATATAAATTTCCTACGAACAGGATCCGGAAATCACCAACGCGCCATTACCGATGCTGCGCTCTTTGTTGTCATTGTCTGAGGCACCGGAAGCGAACGGCCCCCAGGTATGACATATGACGTACAGAAATAACTTAGAACATAGGAATTGACCTTTGACCTTTAGTGACCTTGGAGTGACCTTGATAGGTTATTAAGAAATAGGATTTATACGACACCTACACAGAGTTCTTATATTAATTACTTCTTATTGTTCTATATATCAAGATATATTTAATTCAATTATTACTAAAGTTTGAAATTTTAGAATAGTTTTGTAAAGTTTTGATGTTTTTTTTTTAACAAAATCCGTGTCGAGAAACAAAATAAAACACGACATGACATAAACCAGAAAAATCTGAACAAATACATAAATAATATGATTTAAAATATACTAATCAGTAAATGTTGTTTTTTTTTCATACATTTTCGCTCTGGCTACTAGAAGCAAGTAACTGGATTCTTTTCTTATTTTATATAAACTCGATGTTAGCCCGCGCTTGTCTGCATGAAACACTTTTCATTATATGAACATTAACCCAATACCCCGGAATGAACTCTCCTAGCCATAGACCCCGTAGATAGATAGAGATTCATTGAAATTGCATGAAAATCGCTAATTCTCATACATTGTAAAATATTTCAAAGAATCTCTCAATTTTCCAGTGTCTACTTGCCTAGTAGCTATAGCGGGGATAACCTTTTTTTTTACCTATTCCCTTATAGACTGGGTTTTATATAATAAAATCTAGTCAAATGCACGCTTAGATATCAAGCGAAGCACGGGGAATTAACATGACGAGAACACAGCCACTGTATAAGGGAATAAATTATTGAGTATTTAATATAGATTTGAATGTATTAAAGTTTTATTTTGTGGTGTGTTAATTGTAATGTTGCTCTCCCTGCGCTTACATCGCTGTTGGCAGCGCTGCGCGGGGGACTATCTGGTGCCGCTGTCGCCTCGGGACCAGCCCGCGAGTGATAGGTAACGACTCGGAAGGTTGGCAGTATTTATTAAAAAAACACAGATTATACAGGGTGACTGGTGAATTACTATCGATATTTGAGGACGTGATATTTGACGATCATATATGACAAAATAAAAATTAATATAACATAAATATTAATAAACTTCTAAGTAAAGTTAACCAAAAGTTATGTCATTAATTACGCATCGTATGAACACCCTACAGATTAGGTATACACACACACTCACACAGACGCTGCGGCGGCGTAGTGTTGTATCAGCACGCCGCCGCACACGTCCACACTTGGAACACTTGGAACGTGTCAACACTTTATTTATTTATACGGAAATTTTGTCAAAAATTAAGTACCTATTTTTTTTACATGATTCGAATGAGAATCATGAACCGAGTATTCTCCTTAAATATTGATAGTAATTCACCAGTCACCCTGTATATATATATATCAAACCAAAAAAACTGCCATCGTTCCAGAATTATTTAACAATTATTTTTCATTGATTTTTATTCCGATAAGTTACTGTAAAGATCCCCATGATTGGTATGCTGTTATAACGAATTGGTTAAATCACCTCGTTGCTTTTAAAAATATGATATAAAAAAATATTATTAAATATATACATATTTTTAAAAGTAACTAGGATTTTTCTAAATTTTCCTCATCTAAATGCTAAATTTTTCTCATCTGTTCAGTTTTTAAATACTATATATCTTTTTTCCTAATGTATTATTATCTTTTATTTTAATATATGTAATTGCAAAGGTAAATTTAGAAATCCTCACAAAAATTAACAAATTACAACAGCTCACTAGACGAGAAAAGGCATGCCAAGAGTTCCCCAACTTTTATTATAAATAACCATAATAAAGAACAAAAAATATAAAATTAAGAAAAAACATATAAAATAGCGAAATATTAAAAATTTATCAAATAAAGTAAATAGATAATTATAAAATACACCACATACCACCACTGCATTAAATAAATACTAAATTAATTATAGTTTTCAAGGTAGATTCATATTTTTTAATATTTTAGCTCAACGGATCACTTGGTACCTCATAGCAAAACGCTACCGGCGGCGGAGAGGCCAGGAATGGAGGATTCACAATATCAACCTCTTCTGAAAGGTATTTATACACAAAATAACCAAAAAACAGCAAAAAAATCTTGATAATAACAGTAATATCCCCAAAACAACAAATTGATAATGAAAAGTAAGCAAAAACGCAAAAAAAAATCTTAATGGTAATAAAATAATTAGTCATATATCCAAGGTAAAAAATTAGTCATACTATATTACTAGGAAAACAATAATTAGTCATATATCCAAAATAACAGCTCAATTACAAAAAATGCCCAAACAAAATGAATGTAACAAAATTTAAATTTACATATTACTTTCTTCGGCGCTACAACCCTTTGTGGGTCTTGGCCTTTCCACAATAGACTAGATTTACATATATATGTTAAATATACAATTTTTGTCCAAAACCCAGCATCACAAGAATATGGCAACATTCCAACGGTGTCCTTGAACGTGAACGGAAAACGAGACGCCTCAAATGCTTCCGCCGCCGAGACAAAGAACAATACAAAGTGTCAGCAGTCTGAATCCACTGATAGGTAGGATTATTATACATATATATACTCTAAAACTACCAAAAAAACTAGAGTTTATAGTATAAATGATACCAAAACAGTTAAGAAATTCTAACTTAATTTTAGAGGTGGTAACGCCTAGCTGTGGTTAAATTACTACAGCTAGAACATGTGTTGGCTCGCCCGTGGAAGTACCAGCCTCTCATAGAAGATCGGCGTGAAGTAGTCAGTAATGGCTGCGTTTCGTCCGATGAGTGAGAGAGACGGTTGCCCTTTCCCTGTTCCCAACCTTTCCTTATATTTCCTTATTCCGACCCCTCCCTTTTCCTCCACAGCTAAAGTTAGCAACGGATCCTCAACATCTATGTTGTGGATGTCCATGGTCGACGGTCACTACTGACCATCAAGTGGGCCGTCTGCTCGTTTGCCAATTTTTACATAAAAAAAACTATTTATATTATTATTATAGCGTAAACTTTCACTTATCTTGTATTAAACAAACTACAAATAAAATGCAATTGTTTCCCCAAATCAGCAAATCCAAAGTCTAATCAGGTTTATCCAAAGAAATCTCCACAATCCAACAGTGTCCAATATCCAACAGGTTGTTAAGTTCGTTAGAGGGTCCGGTAGAGGTCGCGGAGACTTCCTTCACCGAGACCAAAACGACGCCGAGCATCGAACCCGAACCCACGGTGAATATACACACACTATAACACACTAGCACTAAATAACATTAAAATGGCTTTAAAACAATTAGTTTGCCATATTTCTGTCAACAACTAAACTTATATGACCCTTGACCTTTTGACATTTATCAAATCCGCATCCACATATAATCTATATTTATTTTTCATGAGAATTCCTCTATATTATATTTATTTTTTAATTACAAATATTATTTAGAGTATTTATTAGAGAAAATATTTGTGGTAAGTATGCTTGGATTGAATACTTTGTTCAAATACCATTCACTAAGGAGTAAAACTGTGGTATTGTTATTATAGTCGTAAATAATGAAATACGAGTATATAGTATACATTGATGATATTCGTATTGATATACATATTTTTCATAAGATGTCCTACTCTTAAACAAAACCATATTTCCACAGGTTGAGAAACTGATAAGTATAACACCGACTTCACCCAAACCTCCAGAAAACGCTCTGTCGATAGCCATAGACTCAACTAACGTCATAGATAAGACGAACAAAACACATTTGATACCGGAAAAGAAATCCGCACCCATAGCGTCCCCCGACCCGCCACGCATAAACGCCTGGAATAGAGACGCACCCGCCATCCCAAAACCTAAACCATTCTGTTTGGACGCGGCTCAGTTAGAGCAAAACCTGAACGCCTTGAAGAAAAACAGCGGCTCAGTTAACCTAACTACTATGAATACTATGAAAGTGTTACCGCCGTACATAAACGTGGTCACGCCAAACAAAATATCAGAAGCGAAAACTATACAGATAGATCCGAAAAAGGCTGTCATACATGACTTACAGTCACCAAGCGAAAATGAGGACAAAGAAAAAGGGAAATTAAAACAATCGAGCTCAGCAGCGAGCTTATTAAATGGACCTCTCACTGAACTACCTTACGCGGATAGTGATAACGCTTCATCGAGCTCCGGCAGCAACACACAAAATATAAATCAAAAAAACAAAAACTACTCAGAAATAACAATAAACGGCAAAAACGTCAAAAAACAAAACAGTAATGGCGGGGAAACTGAAATAAACTGCTAAACAAAATGACCGTCTAACGAACTACTATCTGTGGTGAAAAGAACTATTGTAAATATGTACGTGTTTTAATAAAATTATGATAACGTCTGGCTGAGTTGATTCAAGTTTTATTTAACGCTTCCCGACGCTTCTTATATATGTAATGATACGATTTGCTCAATACGTTGCCGAACATACAATAAACGTTTTATACTTCTATATCTATTTTTATTTATTGTTATCTGTGTGGGATTTTTTATTGAAAATTTTATAATCTGTTGACGATTCTGACAAAACTGATATATATAGAGTATGATCTGTGGATGATATAAATATTGTTAATTCTAGATACACTTTTATTGAAATTATTTGGTTTACTGTGTAATTATAATAAACATATAGATAAAGTAGTGACGCTTCGAATTGTAAATATATTAAAGGTAGTGTTTTGTGTAAATCCGCCCCGGCTTAGGTTAATGGATGTATATTAAAAATAAATCGACATATTTATTATAGGAGTAGAACGCATCTATAGTTATGTATGGTGTCGGTTATGTTCGTGGGTTTTTTAAACGAAGTAGTTTTACATGGGCACCGTGAAATCCATAACAATATACTTAGAAAATATATATATAATATAGTTTTATTATACATAAATATATATATATGTTACTGACAAATGTGTGTAAATCACATATGTGGATGCTTTAATTAAATTTTAAGATAGTTTTAAGACATACGAGGTATCGACTCTCATTTTTGTTAGCAGTAGTGCCAACATGTATTATTTCGCTGACAATATCGAGTGAGGATCGTTTTCACATGCATTTATTTCCTAAAATTATTTGCGGCATGAAATGACAGGGTATTATGGAGGTTACTTTGTGATTGGTTTGGAAAATATATATTTATCGGAGCCCGTCTTGTTGAATATTGACAGCATTGTGTTATGCTAATTTTATATATTGTTGATGTCGTGTTTTTATACTTTTTGTTTTGTAACAAAAATTGTTTATAATATTTAGAATGTAACATATAAGTGTACCGTTTGGTTATCTGTTTGTCACCGGAATATTTTACGTAGTTTAATTCGACGTAGTCATAATTATTATTTAGAAGTTGGCCCTTCGTTTAGAATGTTGCTTGTAGATAAATAGGTAATATTATTCATAAATCTTTTTTTAAGGAAGGATGAAAATTATTTTGTATTAGATACTATATATTTTTTCATGACAGTGTATAAATAATTTTAATTCCGCCGTTGATTTTAGGAATTTGTTAGTTATAAAATATAATTATTAAGTGAAATAAGTTAATTATTTTAATGCGCACAATAAATAAGCAATGCTTATTTGTTATCAGTGAACGGAGTGCCAACTTCTGAATATTTATGTAATTTACCATCTAATATTAGATCGGAAGTAATGTAAATAACGGATATCGATATTGTATAAAGCAGTGAATGTTTATTTTGTATTCTTTAATTTTCATCCCGTGTGCAATTTATTGTAGAAACTTTAAAAGTTGTTATTATATAGAAGTGTGACTTCAAAATGGAAAAGACATAGCTGTGTTAACTTTCCCGCTTAAACTCAACTGTCACTTGTAACCATTGCTCAAATTAGCATAAATTTATTTTATATTTATAATTTGTTTATTCATGAGAATCGTGGTTGTGACTTGTTATAGCGTGGAAAAATATCAGTTCCTTGTTTTATTAGATCGTTTTCTTTTAATAAGTTGATACTGTTTGAAACAACGAAATTAACAATTCCATGATCATGACCTGTTTGTTTGTCATCGCAGATCAATTGTATGTATAATAATTATATAAATTAATGAATTGGGTGAGTTAAGAGTATCGAAGTATATAATTAACATGGTCTGTATGCTATATAATAAATCTTAATAATAAATGTACAATATGCTTTGTTTTATTTTAAATCTTTCAAGATGTTTATGTCAATCGTGGGATTGAAAACCGCTAAAAACTGATTAATATAATACTGTGTATGAAAATATATTTCTAATGGATTTTAGTAACATAATAGAGGTGGCCTAAAGCTTAAAGGCCCGCATTTCGTGCATAAGAGCGCGGGTTCGAAACCTGGCAAGTACCAATATGATTTTTCTTCTGTTTAAGACACCACTGACAGATGAAGGAAAACATCGTGAGGAAACCTGGACTTCTAATAGATTTTATAATTGCTTAGCACTATATTATATTTTACGATTTAAATTTTTATACAATATAGACGTGTGCTCGCTACAGTGGTCAGTTACAACTTTGTCATATCCAATTATAAGTTTGAAATCACCAACCCGTCTTGAGCAAGCGTGGTGATTAATGCTCAAACCTTCTCCATGTGAGAAGATAACTCAGCAGTGGGCTCTGATAGGCTGATGATGAGTAACAAATATGTTCTCAGTGTTCTTTTAAAAGAATCATTACTAATATCTAATAAATAAAAGATCATAATAATATTTTGTAATAATTTTATTTTACCGATATAACAATATCTCCATGAAATGCTAAACATCAAAATGTAATACCAATATTACTTAGCATCATTTACAAAACCTAAGCGAGGCTTAACACTAATGTTATAAAGAGAGGAGCTAATTAATGAAAATAATGTTTGAGATCATCATCGGGACAACTTGTTCAACCATATTTTGATCTTCGCTTTGTACATTTAGAAACATATAAAAATATAAGCAAAATAATTTTATTAAAAAAAATATTGAATATTTATGTAATTCATGAAAATAAAATCTTCTATTATTTCTTAATAAACCAAAATTACATTGACGAATACAATTTTTAAAAGTTAAATGAGTATTTTACAAAAGAAATAAAATGAAACCGAACATAAAATGTGTAAAATGATTATTATATATTAATTTTAAAATACTATTTTAGTGGACAGCATCAGCATTTTAGGCAATTTTTATTTTTATACAGATTTTTATGGCTTTTGATTAAAATGACCATAATTGGCGCCAAAAATTGAGAGTATGAGTAAATAATTCGACATCCTAAATTTTTCCAGACTAATATATACATGCAATTAACTGAATTATCATTAAAAACTATTTTAATACATTTAAAGAAAAAAAAACTTAAAAATCTCATAAGATAAAAATAAACTTAAAATAATAAAATAGATTGCAATTCATTGTGATGTTTAAAATTGCACAAACATTCTTAATAATAAGAACATAAAAATAATCGATGTATGGATGATATGAGCAAAAAAATACTTACTAATATATATTTATATATAAAAATTATTTTCAGTCTGATACAAAGACTACACAAATTATCATTATTCCTATATATTTTGATATTTTTATTTTATACGTCTATCTGACATTCAGTGTACTTTCATCAGTATTTATTAAGAATTGTGCGATTTTATTAAAATCATTGCATCATCCCAAAACCTCGGTACATTATAGTAATTTGGCTTCAATTTAACTTCATTCGACGAACAAATAGTTCATTTAAACATGAAATCATTTTAAATTATATAATATAGTGCAAATGAAATGATTTATTAAATAATAAGATATTTTTTGTTTAGACATTGAATATTATTGAGATTTTGAATTTTTCATGTATATATATATATACACCAATTTTTATGATTCCAAATCTCTTTATTTTCTTGTTTAAATTATATTAGTGTATATCGAAAAGTTTCTGTGATACACAGTTAAAGCTTATGTATTTAATTTTCTACATCCGACAATTCCCAATACAATTTCATTGAAAAACAAAATTATAGACAATTCTAAAACAAAATGTCAGATCTGACGTTTCGGCGCCAAAATCAATACTTACATTGACAATTAAAGCTTATTCGCATATTAATTTCGGCGGTGATTTCGACATGTTAATTTTGACGTCAGTTTTGACATGTTAATTTTGACATCAATTTTGACTTTTTAATTTTGACGTCAATTTTGACATGTTAATTTTGACATGTTAATTTTGACATGTTAATTTTGACGTCAAGTTTGACATGTTAATTTTGAAGTTTCGACGGCATGTCAAAACTGACATTGACATTTAAAGCTTATTTTTAGATGATTTTGGCGGTTATTTTGACATGTGTCAAGCGTTCAGAAATCGTTGTCGCTGGAGGCGTCGTATGTCTCGTTGATCGGCTGCGGTTGATAACGTACGGACGGCGACAAGACCGGCCCGTGGAAAGATTGGGAACGTAATACGTTACTGTGGAAATAATATTAATATTAATAAAAATATATATTTAAATTATTTTTATTATTATTGAAAAAGCATGATATAAAAATATTAATGGCTGCAATTATAACAGTACTAATATTACTAAAGAAGAAAAATATATAAATACATATATTGTAATTTTGTTTCATAATAAATACCCTTAAAAAGCCATACATTTACCTAATAGGTGTTATTTTATCAAAGCACTATATATAATATAAACGTTAAAAGTAATGCATAATTCTCTTTGATAAAGCTAGTGACAATATTTTATATAAAAAGCCTATGTTAATATATAATAAGAAAAAATATATTAATATAATTGTCTATAATATAATATTTAAAAATGCGAACATAAATTATGTGTTAAAAGCGTAGTTATAAGCTTTGCTTTAAGTGTTATTGTTCGTTGGCAGTATGATTTCTCCCCCTTGCCCAAATGTCATATCTGACGGCTGTCACTTTGACATTTGCCATTTACCTTAACAAAGATGGCTGCCCGTGACACTTTATCCAGTATTTCATGCATTTTGTGATTTGTCACGCTCTAGAATATCACAATATTTATGTACGTTAGTTCCTAACAATATAAAAATTAAAAGAAAAAAAACATATAAATAATTTAATTGATATGAAGCTATATCTACGCTTAATATAAAGATTTTATATATAGAACATAAAAAATATATATAATATATTGACATTGTAATTATAATCTGTTATACAGATAACATATAGTTTTGTTTTAAAAACGAGTCTACCTTCCAATGTTATACATTTAATAATTTATATTAAGCCTGAAATTGGCAAACTATTACTAGCCCACTGATCTAGAGCATTATATATAAAATACAGACATTTAAATGTCCCTTTGTTATAATAAATGTACAAATAAAACTTAATTATTTGTATAGCGACATATTCTTTGAATGATCATAGTCTTTGTATCTGATAATTATAATAGGTTGGGGAAAATATCTTATATCTGTAACCGGGTAGCACATAGCATCTTAATTGTATTAATTTAAATTGTTGTATTTGTGTATACTTTGTTGGAGATCCAATAAATAAATAAAGATAATTCCAAATACAAATGAGGCAAATGTGTGATTTTCATTTGTTTTTCGTACTGTCAAGATGAATCTAATGAAGAAATTCGATAAATTTTACTACAAAAAAGGCAAAAATGCAACGCAAGCCGCGCAAAAAAAATTGCGATGTTTATGGACCTAGTGCAGTGTTTGTGAGAGCGCAAATTTGGTTTCAATTTTCAAGTTTTCAATCCGGAAATTTTTATGACAAAAATGCACCTCGCCCTGGTCGCCCTATTACGGATAAAATGAATGCCATTTTTAGAAAAAGTGGAGCAAGATCGACATATCAGTAGTTACGACGTAGCTGAAGAACTGGGAATTGATTGAAACAGTTTTGGCGCATTTGAAAAAAGTTGGGTACAAAAACAAGCTCGATATTTGGGTACGAGCTCACTGAATGAAACCTAATGAACCGTGTACTCATTTGTGATTCTTAATACGACGTAATGAAACCCAATCATTTTTGAAGAAGCTGATAACTTGTGATGAAAATTGGATCACGTACGACAAGAACGTGGGAAAAACGTCGTGATCAAAGGCCGGTCATGCTTCACAGACTGTGAGGAAACCCGGGTTAACTCGCAATAAGGTGATGTTGTGTGTGTGGTAGGATTGGAAGGGCATTATTATTCATTACTAGCTGACCCGGCAGACTTCGTACTGCCTCAATCAAGAAATAAATTATGTCTTATTTATTTTTTTGGTGTTTACCTTTAAGCCATAAATCTCCGTGTTTTGAAGTGCGACAGAATGATTGACATATTAGTTAGTTGTCAAATCTAATGTCAAAAACCGTTTGTATGGGAAATAAAAAAGCGCTGTTTTTAGGGTTTTCCCGGAAATTAATAAAAAAAAATTCAGCTTTTAAACCTTCCCTGAACCTCCACGAACATTTCAAGACTATGATAAGATAAATCCGTTCAGTCGTTCTCCAGTTTTAGTGAGACCAAGGAACAGCAATTCATTTTAATATATATAGATGAGCTATTACCACCAGGCAGGACTATCGAATCTGAACTCTACTGCGAATAACTGATGACATTAAAGCAAGAAGTTGAGAGAAAGCGGCCGGAATTGATCAACAGAAGGGGTGTTGAATTTTCTCAAAAAATTAAAAGAAAGTTTTTCCCCAACCTATTATATGTTTATGTGTATGTGTGTGTGTGTGTGTGTGTATGTTTCAAATATCCATCCACCTCGTATTTCGGCTCCCCCTATCCGCGGCCGCAGCCTTCCTAGGGTCGTACGACGCTCTTCGCTTCCACTTCTCAAGTTCCTGTTTCTTTTGTTCTGAAAATTATATAACAGGAATATTAATTATATATATATATATATATATATATATATATATATATATATATATATATATATATATATATATATGGGTTGTCCCATAAGTTTCTTCCCTTTTTTTGATGCGAAATGAAAACACGATATTAGTTGTTTGAGGTTGATTTATTGTGTTATATATGAACCGTTCTGTTCTATAACCTTCTTTCATCTCTCAGGAAGTCTCATTATGCCCTCTTTCCAAAATTGTTGAGGCTTACTTGCAAAATATTCGTCTGTGTGCGTTTTTATTTCGCTTATGGGTTTGAAAGATTTACCACGGAGATATTTTTTTAAGAAGAGGAACAAGTAATAATCGGAAGGAGCAAGGTCTGAGGAGTACGGAGGATGAGGTAGAACGTTCCAATCGAACTGTAATAATTTTTGTCTCACGACCATCACGACGACACGACGAAGAAGCAAATTGCACGTAGAGACGCGGTTTATAAGGCCGGTCTCCGTCAATGGGTGTGGAACTCAAACTTCATACCGATTTGCATATCCCATCTTGATCAAATGCTTATGTACCGTTGTCTTGGGAATGTTAGTTTTATCCTCTATCTCGCGGATTTTCAGAGAGCACAGTCTTGATAAGGTCCGCATCCGTCGTTACTGGGCGGCCGCTGCGGTCTTCATCTTGCAAATCAAATTTGCCGGCTCTAAATTTCTGAAACCAATTGCGGACGGTCCTAATGGTCGTAGTACCACTCTCGTAAACGGTGCAAATCTCGTCTGCAGTGTTCTTTGCACTATTGCCTTTTTTAAAGCAATTTTTCATAACATGCCGTAAATGCTTCTTTTGGTTCTCCATATTGAACGGGGCCGATTTTTTTTTGAAAGAGGCTTTGTCGCCAACGAAATTTACTTTGAAAGAGCTCTGGGATGACTGAAACCGATGCCATAAACGGCTAAGAGATAAGCCTGCATGTTTATATAAGCATAGCCAGTCAGAGTCATTCATAGCGTAGCGCGGAAGAAACTTATGGGACACCCTAATATATATATATATATATATATATATATATATATATGATTTCACTTATTAATTAAAATTAACTATAGTTCTTAATGAGTTACAAATGCAATTATGCCAAAGCCATAAAAACGATTACAATTTTCAAGTAATCAAATAATACATTATTAGTCTAAAAGCATCGTCATCAAATTATAATCTCCAATTTTAGACTATATACTATTCATATTACAATATTTTTTTTATCATAGACTTATAAAGGGCAACTAAAATTATAAATAACATAAATGAAATCAGTGGTGTCCTAGTGGTTAAAGGCCCGCCTCTCATGCATGAGTGCGCGGGTTCGATCCTGGCAAGTACCAATGTGATTTTTCCGAGTCATATGTACTTATCTATATATATAAAAGAGATTTCCACCTATATATTGACACATCACGATATCTTTTTAACCATAAGGCGTAGCGACATGAAATTTGGTAGGATTATTACTTTCGCCTGATTTTAATGAAATTTGGTACAGACCAGTGGCGGCTGTACCTTAAGTGCTCTCGGGCGCTGAACCACCAATTCAAAAGATTTAAAAATTACAAAATATTACTTCATCTTTATTTTTAAATTACCATTTTAATATTTATTTCCTAAACATAGAAAAACGTATAAAAAATTAAATTTCTAATTATAGTCAAAAAGTTTGTGCGCTTTACTGAACTAATATCTCGTGCGCTTCGCCGAGTGCACGAGGCCTGCTAATACATCTTGTATGAGATACGCATTAATACGCCTGACGCGTGAAACAAAAGATAGTTCATAGAAATGTTCCGAGTAATGAGTCGGTTCTCGAGCGCCGCACGAGCGGCCGAAGATTACCGAGAGCACCCGATGTATGACGAATTGGAATTGAATCAAAACTTTTCTCCGAAATACTATGCGCTTGCTAAATGCACTTTCTATGCTTAGTATTGAAAAAAATAATTATATAAACAATACCCGATTTTAATAAAAAGGTGATTAAACATTTCGCTTCATAAAAATGTCGTCGCATTGATTTAATGTTTAAAAAATAAACATATTTTATGTAAATTGGTTTTTTGTTGCATTTTCTAATTTTAATATTTTATTAAAGTGCACCACCAGTTCGATAACCCACCAGCCGCCACTGGTACAGACATAGAGTTGACCTTCAGAAAGAACAAAGGATAGTTTTTATCCCAGACTTTTGAAAGGTTCTCTTGGAAACAATATAACCGAACTTCACGCGGGCGAAGCTGCGGGCGGAAAGCTAGTATATATAAAACTAACCCATTTCATAGTGTTGTGCACTTCCTTTGCTAATTTCTTTCTTATCACTATTATTTAGTACACCGATGTATGTCTTGCTTGGATCTCTTCTGAGGAAATTCTTGGGTGAGTTTTCCGATTTGTATTTTGATATATCCAGATACCTCGGCTGTATTGATTCTTTGGGTTTCTTGCTAACAGAGGTCGTTGATGAGGACATTGAAAAATCACCGCTGTACCTGAAATATATAATTTTATGTATTTTATTTATTTCATATGTACATTTATACTTTTTTTAAATATAGTAGTTTTTTAAATAATATATATAAGATCTTATATGTTAAGAGTATTACTTATGTCTTATTACTGCAATAAAAACTAAGTCTTTCCACCAACAAATACGCATTTTCTATAATGGATGTTATAGAATAGCTGGTAAATAGCCTATATAACAAGTAGAACTCTTTTTTATATATTTATTAATTATTATTTACTTATGTATTACATATTTGAAATAATTATCTATATTACAGCCAAACAAATTAAATACAGACATCTATAAATAGACCATACTAAAACCAAGTTTTGGTCCATTGGTATGTATTTTTAATCATGTATTATTGGGGGTAATTAATAATATTAGAGCCAAACTAAGTAAATCTATACATTGTATACAACATTGAAAGTGAACCTACTATAATCTTAAGCTTGGTCTATCTCTAGAATACATATTATAATCTTTCTCTACTTTTTTTTCACACTTTACAGACATCTGCAACATAAAAGATGTTGTTGATGTATCACTTCCTTCTATCCTATCCCTTGATTGAAAAAAGGTGGGAAAGGGAGGGAAAGGGCAACCATCTCTCTCACTCATTGGCCGAAACACATCCATTAAAGACTACTTCACGCCGATCTTCTGTGAGAGGGTGGTACTTCCCTATATATCCTACTAATATTATAATTCCGAAAGTTTGGGAGTGTGTGTATGTTTGTTACTTCTTCACGCTCAAACGGCTGAACCGATTCTGATAAAAAAATTTATACATTAAGCTGACGTCCAGGAATAAGACTAGGCTATTTTACATCCCGGAAATCGGGTAACACCGCGGTGCGCAGCTAGTATATACCTCTGTTTTTGCTGTATTTTCCTCCCTTGCCTCATAACGGGCGCACTTTCCGGCCCGCTGTCTTCTGTATCACTCTTATGACTGAAAACTGATGTTCTAGGACTACTGCCGTTTGTCGTTGAGTTTGTATCTGAATCAACAATAAATGTTTTCCTTTTGTCTGATAAATCTTGAATATCTTTCTTAGTTTTTTGTTCACGACGTTTGATTTTCTCTTGTGGAGGATTAACCTGGAAATAGTTGGAAAATGATTATAATTTTGTATATTGATTATCGTAAACAATGATATTTAGCAATAAATAATATATTATTTACTAGAAGACCTGACAAACTTCGTATCGCCCTATAATCAAGAAATATCTATGTATTACGTTTTTTTATTTATATTTTTATAGTTTACCTGTAAGCTATAAATCTCCGTGTTTTGAAGTGCGACAGAATGATTGACATATTAGTTAGTTGTCAAATCTAATGTCTAAAAAAACGTTTGTATGGGAAATAGAAAAGATCTGTTTTTAGGGTTTTCCCGGAAATGATTAATTTTTTTTCATCTTTTATACCTTCCCTGAACCACGGAGATTAATGGCTTTAATAGGTAAACTCCAAAAATATAAATAAAAAAAACGTGACAGATATTTCTTGATTATAGGGCAATACCAAGTTCGCCGGGTCTTCTAGTATATATGTATATTTCCAGTGTTTGTGTGTCTTATTACCTGGTAACTTACGACGAGTTCCCTCCTCAAATCCAGACCGAGCATGTCGGAATGTGTGGAGGTGATCATTTCGACGGGAGTTTCCTCTTCCGACGAGTAGTCCAACATGTGGTTGTGGAACGACTGGGAACGATGAACCGGCGACGAGTGGCTGGTCGGAACGGATATATGAAATATAGACGAGTCCGACGAATATGTGAGATATGAGAGTAGACGATTATTTCTGATTTAATTAATGTAAAATTGTTTACTAATACTTTGTTAGTATGAAACGTAACTGCAATTGAATTTGATGTTATATAAATATATTAGTGGAATTATTATAGTTATTGTAGTAAGATCTAATCAAAATGGTCATGTTATATCAAAAATTATAGTTTTAAATTTGTATTTATGTAAAATTGATCGCGATTACTTTGTTAGTATGAAAATTATTTCCAATTTATAACGTTATTATACAAAAATTAGTGGAATTACTATAATAAGGTCTAATTGAATTGGTCATTTTTTTATTACCTGGGTGAGCTAAGATCATCTTTATTATACTCCTGTTTCCTGACCATTTGCTGCTTCTTCCTACCCTCTTGGGCAGATTTCATAGGATCATATGAGGAACGCTTCTTCCAATTGGAGAATTCCACTTCTTTTGACGCTAAACCGGATGTTGAACGGTGACTTGGCTTCTTTTGGCCTGAAATAGAACGGAAATAGAGAAATAACACAAAAAAACAGTATAGTTAACATATAATATAGTCGGGGATAGTGCAAATAACTAACTAGCATTGGATAATTCCGCGTATCTACATTGGAAGTAGATCAGAAGCAAGTTTAAGCTGAAATATTTACTATATTAATGACTTTTAAGGTAAATTTTTCACAATTAGTAATAAATAAATTAAACACTAAATAAATACTTATTATGAAAATTACCTCGAAAGTCGTTTATATGTGGTCACAATAGCTCATTACCAATAATGGCGTTACACTCACATGATTCGTAAGTTCGATAATTGGTTATTAAAATATTTTTAAATGAAATTTCATATCGTTAATATTAAATGTAAATTAAGTGAAGATGGCTAGCAATAGGATAATATTTTAAATTTAATTCACAGTTTCGTAATTTTTATATAATATGTAAAAAAGTACATAAAACTAGTTTTTTATATCTTTTTTTCTTAGAGTTAAATATTATTTTGTGATATGTTAATAAGAAATTCCTAATACACTATATCCAAAACAAATTATAATATATATATTCAAAATCTATACATATATGTATATCAAAATTAGTTGTTTAATATGGATAACTAAGAAATATATCCAGACATTTTTTTATTAGCAAAATTTTTAAACGAGTTCATGACCTTGTATTGAAAATAAATACGCTTTCATTTGCCACTGAAAATGACGGAAGAGAAGTTCAATTGAAATCCACTAAGACAATTGTTTCTTTGGACAAAAGCAGTCCTTGAGAATAATCGATTTGGTGAAATACAAAGAACAATACATTGTTTATTAGAAAACAATGAATATTATCTATATTTTTTGATAAGCACTAACTTTGACTCTCGACTTCGATTGCGAAAAATACGTTGTGATGGCTTATAGGTTAAAAGTCTACCTATCATGAATGAGAGCGCGGGTTCGAAACCTGGCAAGTACCAATATGATTTTGAAAGTCATATGTACTTTCTGAGAGTATTTAGACACCACTGATAGATGAAGGAAACATGGACTTATAATTTCAAATTATAAGTTTGAAATCACCAACCCGTCTTACAAGCGTGGTGATTAATGCTCTAACCTTCTCCATGTGAGAAGAGGCTCAGCAGTGGGCTCTGATAGGATGATGATGATGATTATAAGGAAAAAATTATTATGATACTGTAATATATGTGTTAAACCTCACCTTTCTCCTGAGGTTTTGTATGAACTTCTCTCGTTGAAGACCTGGATTTGGTCAATCTATTCAGAACTGCTTGTCTGGTTGGTTCAGTAATCCTTCTACTTTGATGATTAACAGGTTTTTTCTCTTCCCTAGACATTGGTGGTTCCGACATTCGCGTATTTTGGTCTTTATGCCGAACAGACGCCCTCACTAGCCCCGGACCAAATTTTCTCTGCATTTCTGGTGTATTTGGACATCTTGGCGAATTCGATGGGACTATAGATTTTACGTCATAGTCCATTCTATCTCTATGCAATGGTCTTTTGAGTCTAACATCTTGTGTTTTAGCGAACGATCCGTTGTCAGATTCGTCTGAATAGTCCTTATATTCTTCGGACTGTCCACTTGATCTTCTAGAAGTAAATCTTGGGTCTAAATTATTGTTTCTATTGACGGTGCTAAATGAACTAGATCGTTTGATCGATGTATACGGTTTTTTACCATCAGTTAGAACTCTTATATGAGTCTTCTTGGTATCTTGGCAACGCGTTGGATCGATTCTATGTGTTTTGCTGTCTATGGCATTATTTTTTAAGACGTGTTTGAGGGTTACGTTTTGATTCGCGTTGTTTATGTCGCTCGGGAAGTATTCTATAGGATTCTTCCCGTCGAAGGATCTATGACGTGTGTGCGTTTTTCTGTTCGGTGTTGTGTGCACATCGTACGGTGTGTGTGATAGAGTTTTGTCATCGGAACTATTACTAAGTAGACCTCTTTCTGAGCACGGGCTGTTCATATTGGAGTCATGCCTTGTGTCTTGTTCTAGTGATCTCGTGGCGCTGTTGATGAGAATTTTGTTTGTTTCTGGCACTTTAGCGGAACCGGTGATGACGTAGTGTCCGGGACTTCTTAGTGGACTACTTCCGCCGGAAGTTTCCTTCCGTCTAAGACGATAGTTTAGCGAATTGGATCTGCTGAGCTGAGATAGTGGAAGTCTTGATACTAGTGTTTTTTCGCTGACAAGACTTGTAGTCAGCTGATTTGGAATGTAAGTATTCTTAGTGGAGTGCAGCTTAGCTTGTAAATTCGTGATAGCATTTTGCGTCTTCACCAAATATGATTCCGTGTCTTGAGGCGGGATGAGGTCCTGCAAAAAAAAACATATATTATAAGCAAAATTACTTAAAAACAAATTTTTAACCAGTTTCCGCCATATACCATTCGATGGCACCAAATCACGCAACAAAGATTTTACGTGTTTTTTATTATTTACGCTAATTGTTTTTTACATTTAAAATATTTTGATTACAACCATTTATAAGGAAGTTTGCGTGATATTACAGCATAGTTCATCTTTTGAAAGCCGTCTAGAAATGTTGAGTAATCGCCTAGTATTAAAATGGTTGAACAACTGAAAATTGGAAAGTTTTTTATCATCCATAAACATTTTAATTAATATACACAGAAAATTAATTTCATTCGTTTCTGCGAGCGACGCTGTAGTATATAACTAGTGTTACATAACTTCTGCAATGTCTTATGTATCCCTACTAATATTATAAATGCGAAAGTAACTCTGTCTGTCTGTTACGCTTTCACGCCTAAACCACTGAATTGATTTTAATGAAATTTGGTACAGAGATAGAGTTGACCTTGACAAAGAACATAGGATAGTTTTTATCCCAGACTTTTGAAAGGTTCTCTTGGAAACGCGATATAACCGAACTCCACGCGGGCGAAGCTGCGGGCGGAAAGCTAGTTATATAATATATGTAGATCAATATTTGAATGTTTCTATGTCGCTATGAACCTTGAGCTTGCTTTCTCTGACCCGCTGACTTAAATGCAAGTCCTTACTGACTCACATTTAATTGTAAGACACTTAATTAGTAGAGCGTAAATTAATTTATAAGGTATAGTTTATTTTAAGAATTTTTGTGATGCTTTTATATTGAATCTTTAGATAAAATGGATTAAATATCACTATTTTTTGACTAATTATACATACAACAATTAGCGTATTTTAAATCTTTAAAATACGCTAATATTATGACTATACGATAATCTTATCGTATAGTCATAATATTTGTTAATAATAAAATCTTTTATGTTTATCTTATATATAATTTTTGCCCGTGACTACGTCCGCGTGAAATATTACATTTTAAATAACATATACGGCAGCGCCATATGTCGGGATGATATATGAATCTAAACCATATGGGAGGCCACCCAAAAAACGTACAAAAATTCATTAAAATCGGTCAAGCATCTTCGGTGTTTAGTGACATATATACGTACAGACACACAAACTTATTCTATCCCTACTAATATTATAAATGCAAAAATAACTCTGTCTGTTTGTCTATCTGTCTGTTACGCTTTCACGCCTAAACCACTGAACTAATTTTAATGAAATTTGATACAGACATAGAGTTGACCTTGATAAAGAACATAGGATAGTTTTCATCCCAGAATTTTGAAAGGTTCTCTTGGATACGATATAACCGAACTCCACGCGGGCGAAGCTGCGGGCGGAACGCTAGTATATAAAAACCAAGTGGTATCATGAGTCACGAATCAGGTTTCATTGTAACCAAATATGTACGCGAGTGGTTTATTTATAAAGGTAAACATCAACTTAGTCACACTGACTCATTCCTGAGGTATGACCATGCTTGTTGTGGCATTGTTTTGGTGACATGCACGGCGCATGCACGATTTCCGGTTAACATATGCATGCATCGAATTAAGCATATATTTTGAGTATCATCAAAAGCGTTTAAATGTCAGAGTATAAGTGTTAAAGGTATAGGAAGTGGTATATTTAGTTATTTACTTAAATAGTTTGCAAGTCCTATCTGCCTATACATATATATATTGGGAAGGTTTGTCTATGATTGAATTAAGAGCGAAATAACTCGAAAGAAACTTTTTTAGTACAAAATTAGACAACTTTTTTTTATATATTTTCCAGACATAACTATGGAAGCTTTTTAATATGATAACCCTGATGATACACAGGATCCAAAGAACAGTTAAAAAATTAATATCGAAAATACTAGCATCGAAAAACATTAGTTTAGGTTTAATGAAGTTCTAAAATGCTTGAGCCAATTAACGTAATATAATTAACGAAGAATCTAATAATATCTTTGTACGTACAAAATCTTCCTAAACAACATTTTTATTACTTTACACAATCAAGTTAAATTTAAACATTACCTTCTAGAAAAATCCTTGATTATTATGCCTCTTATTTATAAGCTAGATTATAAAAAATATACGCATATGTAATATTAATAATATTATAAATTACTGAATTTAACAATAACTAGTTTTTGCCTACGACTTCGTCTGCGTTAGTTTCAGAATTAGAAATGTATAGCTGACCGGGCGATTTTTTTTTCTTTTAAATGAATGAATAGTATCCTATGTCCTTTCTATGTTCTAATCTATCTAATCTATCAACCAATTTTCATCCAAACCCGTACAGCCGTTCTTGAGTAATAAATAGTGTAACTAACACGACTTTCTTTTATATATATAGCTAACACATTAGAAGAGAATATACAATAAATAGGTAAAGCTCGTCTAGTTTAAGTTACATAACACTGACAATAAATGTCGCTAGAGAATTAACATACAAATTTACCTATCAACACGATTTAAGAGTATTTAGACATCACTGATTAATGCATTCCCAAAGAGGGTTGATGTCAGGCAGGCGGATCGTTAAAACAATTAGCCAAAACTAATCACAACATGTAAGGCAGACCCTGGCTAAAGCTGGGAAATTGCCAGGTAGAAGAAGACGGAGTAGGTATTAAAAGCTAGTGTTATAATTAATTATCCTTGATATTTTATGCTAAACATCTGCCACATGCCTGTAATTTAATACAACAGCTGTCTTAAGATGACTAATATTATAATTTATTCAAAGTTAAACGACGATCAATAAAAATGGATATTATTTTAAATATTATAATAAATTTATAATGTAATTTACGTATTTTCATTATAAACTTATTAGAATATAAGTTGAAATGTTGGAAAATAATTTATGAAGGTGCTTTCTATTTCATTTAAATATATAATTTAAATATTTTATGATTTGTAATATATATATTTTTCTATGTAAATAAGGTTTTAAATCTTGTAACTGCTACTAGTGAAGTCGAGTAAAAATACTGATATTGTAGTTTTGTTTAATCATGAACACTTGAAATAATATATTATTAATATACATATATATAATAATAACTCTTATAAGTATCATACGTAAAGATAAGATAAATGTAAATGAAGATATATATATAGGAAATTATTAATTTATATACAATCCTAATCCTTGAGATTTGACGTTAAATACACTAAGTATAATTTAAATTTGTGGCAACTAGAGATGTTTTTAACATATAATATTGAATTAGTATTTCGACATATTTTAGTACTTTTTTATATAATTTCTATCATCCGTCATTATACGTATAATCAATTCGTATTGTAAGCTGAGACCGTGACGAAGGGCCTGGACGGAAGTGACGTCACTAACAGGTGAGAGCCACGAACATACGTTAGGTCATTAGGTGCAACATATAGGAGAATAATATTTCATTATTACAAAAATCTGGATTCGAACCCACACCCTCTACGTAACTAATAAGCATATATGTCCATATTTTTATTATACACATGACATGACACGTTATGTACGACCGTTAGTATGAGATTTCATGATTTACCTTAAAACCGACAGTTTCATAGTTTTCATGTGAAACCATTAGACAAGTTTTCAGCACACTGCATATAATAAAGCTAATAAACACATATACATATATACATCTAGCGTGTGTCACGTGACTTCATACACAATAAAAGTATTATGTATCCGTTCAGTTCTAACTAAATACAGTGTAAACTCTATATAACGACACTGAAGGGACCGTGCATTTTAGTGCGTTATAGAGAGTTGCCGTTAAATAGAGGGAAGAAAAATCAGAATTAGAAAAAGACAAAGTTTGTTTCAGACTACTGTTAGTACTTATGTACATAAAAAAGAATGTTATAAAGTCTGCTGTTTTTGTTTGACGTGTTTTGCTGCACCAGTAATGTTGTTGTATTTTTTACGTATTTTATTCATATCTTGCGATATTGAGGCATATTGGTGAAGAACGAATTTCTTAGAAAGTTTGGTATGCATGATTACGACAGTGGAGTTTATTGCGGGCTAGGATAACAAAGCGACAAAAAAACGTACACAGCTGCGCATTTTTTACTAATTTTAGCAACTTAAAGGGTACTTTTTATTACTTAATTTTGTCGTTATTGAGAGTGTCTGTGACGCTATATAGAGTGTATCATTGTATGGTAGACAAGCTAAACCAACCAAAGTCAAATGATTTCGACGCTTTAGAGAGTTTGTCGTTAAATCGAGTGTCGTTATATGGAGTTTACACTGTATATTCAAGTTAAATTAAACCTCATACCCTACTGTCATATCTAACCTGCATTGCTGTAGAGTTTCATCAAAATCCGTTCAGTAGTTTTTGCAATAACGAGTAACATACATACATACATCAAACTATTAAATCGCATCAGTGTATGTCTTGCACTGTGTGAACACTTGTCATTGTTCGTCCAACCATAATACCGATGTATGTCTGTATATACATATATAAAAAACTACATTTACTAGACAATAAATACATTTTGAATATAAAAAAATATACAGGGTGACTGGTGAGTTACTATCAATATTTAAGGAGCATACTCGGTACATGATTCTCATTCGAATTATGTAAAAAAAATAGGTACTTAATTTTTGACCAAATTTCCTTATAAATAAATAAAGTTTGGACACGTGCCTTGCCGGCGCCAGTGTGTCGCTACTCCCCAACCCCCGCCCCGTGGCTAGCGGGCCATTAGTCGGCTATTAGTCGCGCCAGCGCCGCCGTAAGGTCCGTACGTTCGTCTTCCCGCGCGCGCGCCTAGCGATCGATCTTACGCGTATACCTAATAATAATCTGTCGTGTGTGCGTGTGACCCGTTATTACTTATTAGTAATTAAATATGGCTTTTCAATACACAAATGCAGAATACTTGGACATGGTTCATGCGTATGCGCGTGCAAATGAAAGCTTGCGG